TTTTCTTATTTACTCCCTTTTACTTCAGAATTGGTAGCCACTTATTGATGAATCGAATCTGATGTTATGAATGCAAACAGAAAACGGGAAATGAAAAACGGTCAACTAGGTACACATTTATAGATCAAACAAGTGTTAATTGTTCGACTAAAGTTGGATATATTGTGATCCGTTATACACTAATGAATTTTTTTTTCATATTAATCTTGATAATTCATGCGGAAGTCAGAATAATGTGTATATGCAATATATATGCAAAGAGAACAATCCTGAAAACGTAACTAATTTTTGGCTACTTTACTAAAAGTCCATTCAATATCATCATTTGATAGTAGATAAAGTAAAATTTGAATACAAACAAGTCATTACTGATTCAGCGTGATTTTACCGAAGTAAGTGCGAGCACGTGTTTTATGTGCGCCTGTCCTGCTGATTGAATTACAGAAGTGTATTAACGGTCTCCGCTACCAGTTAAAACATTTCACTATATTCTAGGCCGGTTTCATTTTCAAATTACATATCTCTATTTATCTTTAATATTTCATTGTATTAAAAAATAGCCAGGCCAAATTCTTGATAAAGGTTGTGTATAAACATCGATAGACATTCGATGGAACCCAGCAAAGAGTACTTCATAACAAACTTCATGACCTAATGAATGTGATGTCTGTTTATTCATCTCCGATAATAAGTGACGTCTGATAATCAGTTATTGTGACCCCGACTCACTGATATCCGATTATTGTGACGCTGATACATTGATATCCGATTATTATGACCCCGACACATTGATATCCGATTATTATGACCCCGACACATTGATATCCGATTATTGTGACGCTGATACATTGATATCCGATAATTATGTCCCCGACTCACTGATATCCGATTGTTGTGTCGCCGACACATTGATATCCAATTGTTGTGACGCCGACACATTGATATCCAATTGTTGTGTCGCCTATTCATTGATATCCAATTATTGTGACGCTGACACATTGATATTCAATTGTTGTGTCGCCTATTCATTGATATCCGATTATTGTGACGCCGACACATTGTTATCCGATTATTGTGACGCCGACACATTGATATTCAATTGTTGTGTCGCCTATTCATTGATATCCAATTATTGTGACGCCGACACAGTGATATCCAATTGTTGTGTCGCCTATTCATTGATATCCGATTATTGTGACGCCGACACATTGTTATCCGATAATTATGACGCTGATACATTGATATCCGATTATTGTGACGCCGACACATTGATATCCAATTGTTGTGTCGCCTATTCATTGATATCCGATTATTGTGACGCCGACACATTGTTATCCGATTATTTTGACGCTGATACATTGATATCCGATTATTGTGACGCCGAACCATTGATATCCGATTATTGTGACGCCTACCTGTCGATACTCACTGCATCCATTGATCGCCGCTTATTGTGACCCGCTCATCCACAATATCAATGACATATCTTGATCCCGACTGTCTGTGAAGTGGATCCGTCGATAAACTTGTATCAATTGATCGATACAAGTCTGTGACGTCGATCCGCTGTCTATGACGTGAATTCGTTGATCGTCGCAAACTGTGATGTCGACCTCATTGACTCTTACGCCACTCTGTCGATTCACACTTCCTATGTTGTCGATCTGCTGATCCCAAAAATTTTGTCACGTCGCTGATTTCATCGCCCTGTCTGACGTCAATCCGATCATTTGATTAAAGTTTTTTTGTGACGTCAATCCGTTAATACCCTTACCCTGTTTTTGACGTCAATTCGTCGATCGTCACTTCTTTCTTGTCACTTTGGTTTGCTTATACCCACTGTCTCTCTGTGACGTCCATATCTTAATTTCTTCTATCTGTGATGTCGATCCGTTCATAACCGCCGTCTTTGATGGATATCCTTTAATCCCCGCTATCTGTGCTGTTGATACTTTAATTTCCACTATCTGTGATGTCGATCCTTTAATCCCCGCTATCTGTGGTGTCGACCCGTTAATCCCGCCTTGTGTGATGTCGATCCTTTAATCTCCACTAATTGTGATGTCGATCACTTAATCCCGCCGTGTGTGATGTCTATCCGTTAATCCCGCCTTGTGTGATGTCGGTCCGTTAATCCCGCCGTGTGTGATGTCGATCCTTTAATCCCCGCTATCTGTGATGCCTATCCGTTAATCCCGCCTTGTGTGATGTCGATCCTTTAATCTCCACTAATTGTGATGTCGATCACTTAATCCCGCCGTGTGTGATGTCTATCCGTTAATCCCGCCTTGTGTGATGTCGGTCCGTTAATCCCGCCGTGTGTGATGTCGATCCTTTAATCTCCGCTATCTGTGATGTCTCTCCGTTAATCCCTGCCGTCTGTGGTGTCGTTCCGTTGGTTCTCACAGTCTGTCTTGTTGCCTGACCCCTGATTGCCACTAATTATGATGTCGATCTTTTTAACCCGTATGTGCGACGGTGATCCCACTTTCTGTTACCCAGGTCAACTGATTTCCGCGGTCTGTTACTTCAGTCAATTGATATTCGCCAATTGTAACGTCGATTAGTTGCTCGCCGCTAATTGTGACGTTAATCCTTTGATTGAGATAATTATGACGTAAAACTGTTGACTTGATCTGTTGATATTCGCCGACAGCGATATCAACCCATTGTTCGCCGCTAATTGTGAAACCAATCCGTTGATCACCTCTAATTGTGTTGTTCTGTGACGTCGCTCCGTTGAAAACCATTAACTCCGGTGTTGATCACTTGATTACTGTTGTCTGTGACAATATCCATTCCTATGTTGCTAGTCATGACGTCGGTCCGTAAATCCCCGCTATATGACGTCAGTCCGTAAATCCCCGTTGTCTGACGTCGGCCCGTAAATCCTCGCTGTCTGTGACGTCGGTCCGTAAATCCAAGCTGGCTGTGACGTCAGTCCATAAATGCCCGCTGTCTGTGACGTCAGTCTGTAAATCCCCACTGTCTGTGACGTCGGTCTGTTAATCCCCGCTGGCTATGACGTCGGTCTGTAAATTCCCACTGTCTGTGACGTCGGTCTGTTAATCCCCGCTGGCTATGACGTCGGTCCCTAAATCCCCGCTGGCTATGACGTCGATCTGTAAATCCCCGCTGTCTGTGACGTCGGTCCCTAAATCCCCGCTGGCTATGACGTCGGTCTGTTAATCCCCGCTGGCTATGACGTCGGTCTGTAAATCCCCGCTGGCTATGACGTCGGTCTGTAAATCCCCACTGTCTGTGACGTCGGTCTGTTCATCCCCGCTGGCTATGACGTCGGTCTGTTAATCCCCGCTGGCTATGACGTCGGTCCCTAAATCCCCGCTGGCTATGACGTCGATCTGTAAATCCCCGCTGTCTGTGACGTCGGTCCCTAAATCCCCGCTGGCTATGACGTCGGTCTGTTAATTCCCGCTGGCTATGACGTCGGTATGTAATACCCCGCTGGCTATGACGTCGGTCTGTAAATCCCCACTGTCTGTGACGTCGGTCTGTTCATCCCCGCTGGCTATGACGCCGGTCTGTAAATCCCCGCTGTCTGTGACGTCGGTCGCTAAATCCCCGCTGGCTATGACGTCGGTCTGTAAATCCCCGCTGTCTGTGACGTCGGTCCCTAAATCCCCGCTGGCTATGACGTCTGTCTGTAAATACCGCTGGCTATGACTTCGAGCTATTGATGTCATCAATTGTGAGGTCTGCTCATTTTGATGTTGATTTGTTGATAGTCGCTACAAATAAGTTACATTGATCTCTGCTAATGGATACAATAACCCGTTGATCACTGTTTATTTAGATGTTGATCTATTTATCCCTACTGTCAATGACGTCGATCCATGAATATTCGCTATAGGTGAAGTCGATCCTATGATGCACGCTGTCACGGTGATCCAATTCTCGCCGTTAATTGTGATGTCGATCCCTTATTTTAACATCGATGCTAACTGTCTGTGATTTTGCCACGTTGATTCGCTGTTTGTGATGTTAAACTGTTGGTCCCAGGAAATCTACTACTTCTCTGTGGGCCGAGTCATTCTGTCCGTTACTTTTCTGTGGACCGACTCATTCTGTCCGTTACTTTCCTGTGGACCGACTCATTATGTCCTTTACTTTTCTGTGGACCGAGTCATTATGTCCGTTACTTTTCTGTGGACCGACTCATTATGTCCGCTACTTTTCTGTGGACCGAGTCATTATGTACGTTACTTTTCTGTGGACCGAGTCATTATGTCCGTTACTTTTCTGTGGACCGAGTCAGTAAGTTTGTTACTTTCCTGTGGTCATTCAGTCAATTAGTTACTTTCCTGTGGTCCGAGTCATAAGGTCTGTTACTTTTCTGTGGTCCGAGTCATTAGGTCTGTTACTTTTCTGTGGTCCGAGTTATTAGGACTGTTAATTTTCTGTGGTCAGAGTCATTAGGTATTTTACTTTTCCGTGGTCCGAGTCAGCAAGTCTGTTACTTTTCTGAGATCAGTCAGTAAGTTTGTTACTTTTCTGTGATCAGTATCGTTAAGTATGCTAATTTTCTGTGGTCCGAGTCAGACTTACTTTTCCATGGTCCTAGTTGTTATGTCTGACTTTTCTGTGGTCCGAGTCAGACTTACTTTTCTATGGTCCTAGTTGTTATGTCTGACTTTTCTGTGGTCCAAGTCAGACTTACTTTTCTATGGTCCTAGTTGTTATGTCTGACTTTTCTGTGGTCCGAGTCAGACTTACTTTTCTGTGGTTCTAGTTGTTATGTCTGACTTTTCTGTGGTCCGAGTCAGACTTAGTTTTCTGTGGTCCTAGTTGTTATGTCTGACTTTTCTGTGGTCCGAGTCAGACTTACTTTTCTATGGTCCTAGTTGTTATGTCTGACTTTTCTGTGGTCCAAGTCGCTAAGTCTATTATTTTTTCCATGACCAAGTAATGAAATATGTTACTTATGAAGAAATCATCATTCCAAGTGTTAAAAAATTAAATAAAATAATTGAAACATAATCCAGTATTTCAAAATATTTATTCATTTTCTGATACTGAAGACCTATACAGTACATAAATACAAAGTTCTGCTTGGTGTAACATCAAAATGTGAGGAACTCAGAAGAGAAACAAAACCATGTACATGTGGAAAATGAACATAATCTAGGTTGACACAGGGTACCAGTCAAACAGTTCTAGCACACTCCTACTCTCAACAATGGAGAAATGTTGACGTGTAAATATAACAGAAGATGAAAGTTCCTTAACACAAGAAAACCGATTGGTGTGAAGAAAAAAAACGGCAGAAAACCAGTACCATACAAATGTAACACTTCTCTCACAAATCTAACATACAGACATGATCTATGTACAGTCTTAGTGGAAAGTCTTACTTTTAACTGAATTTCACTTCCACTGGCCTTAGTTATACCAGGTCTGTTGACAGGGGAGATATAGAATGCTTTTACAATCAGGGCTAAGGAAATTGGGTTAATATTAATGATAATAAAGCAATGAAAGGCCACTTGATTTCACAACAGTTTCTTTCCTAAATACTCTCATTCTCCACACCATGCATGCCCAAACCTTCACCACACACTATAAACTACACACTCTATTTAAACTAGTTTTACAAGGAATTGAAATAGCATGCCATGATTGCAGTAAAATTCTGACCTAAAAGGGGACAATTTCTCAATCACTCGCTAACACAAAGAGCAATGATCATTGACAGTGCTTCAGTTCCACTGACTAAACATCACATATTCCACAATTACTGGTATTTTACAAGATTTTGAATTTTTACCAATGCGAAGACCATTTCCAGTCACCTTTTCCCTGAAAGGTACAAACCACAGGTCACACTTCGCACCAGTTCACACCCTCAGCAACTATCTTACCTCTAGTAATATCACCATACATAATATGCTCAATTTGTCCCTATGATTCTGTTCTATTCCAATGCAACATCATATCAATTCACATACAAGTGTCTATGTACAAACTTCCTAGAACAACACTATACAGATAAGGTAATATTAGCTCATTATGTTGATGACAATGGTGAGTGTTGGATGTTTACAAATAATGTTTAAGAATGCTATGGGTTGTCATTTAACATTTGTTACTCATGACATTATTTTATATGTAAACCGAAAAATGTTTTTACAACTGGACTATAAATTCCAAAGTTTAGAGAACATGTCACCACAATTTTTGCCTCATTTGAAATACACTAAAGTAATAATGAATGAAAATTGAGTTGACTATCACAATTCTCATGTTTCCGAGTTAAGATTGTAACTGGAAACCTGATCTACATCTAATTGTGTTCCAGACAGCCAGCTGTTGGTTATTGTAGTTAGTTCACTGACACAAGGAGGATTAACAGGGTATTGCTAGCAACCTTCCAGAACCTCAATCACGTGAGCTATGGATTTCCCTCCTGTACTTCCAATGGCAGTCTGTAATATAGAAGGACATAGGCTTTATGAAATGAAAATGTAATAATAAATGAAATATATTACCAAATGATACATATAAACCATAATATATATTCACAGTTTGTCACCTAGATATTAATATATGTCCCCAGTTATCCCTCAGGTATGAAGATATACACCCAATTTGTCACCTAGATATTAATATATGTCCCCAGTTATCCCTCCGGTATTAGGATATACACCCAATTTGTCACCTAGATATTAAATTTATATCCCCAGTTATCCCTCAGGTATGAAGATATACACCCAGCTTGTCACTCAGATATTAATATATACCCATTGTTTGTCACGAAGATATTAATATATATCCCTTGTTTGTCTCTCAGATATTAATATATACCCCTTGTTTGTCTTTCAGATATTAATATAAATCCCCTGTTTGTCTCTCAGATATTAATATATACTCACTGTTTGTCACTCAGATATTAATATATCCCCGTTTGTCTTTCAGATATTAATATATACCCCCGTTTGTCTCTCAGATATTAATATATACTCACTATTCGTCACTCAGATATTAATATATACACACTGTTTGTCTTTCAGATATTAATATATACCCCCTGTTTGTCTCTCAGATATTAATATATACCCTGTTTGTCTCTCAGATATTAATATATACACACTGTTTGTCACTCGGATATTAATATATCCCCCCTGTTTGTCTTTCAGATATTAATATATACACCATTTGTCTCTCAGATATTAATAAATACACACTGTTTGTCACTCAGATATTAATATATCCCCCGTTTGTCTTTCAGATATTGATATATACCCCCTGTTTTTCACTCAGATATTAATATATACACACTGTTTGTCACTCAGATATTAATATATACCCCATGTTTGTCACTCAGATATTAATATATACACACTGTTTGTCACTCAGATATTAATATATACACACTGTTTGTCACTCAGATATCAATATATCCCCCCTGTTTGTCTTTCAGATATTAATATATAACCGTTGTTTGTCACTAAGATATCAATATATACACACTGTTTGTCACTCAGATATTAACATATCCCCCCTGTTTGTCTTTCAGATATTAATATATAACCGTTGTTTGTCACTAAGATATCAATATATACACACTGTTTGTCACTCAGATATTAATATATCCCCCCTGTTTGTCTTTCAGATATCAGTATATAACCGTTGTTTGTCACTAAGATATTAATATATCCCCCCTGTTTGTCACTCAGATATAAATATATACCTCTGTTTGTCACTAAGATATCAATATATACTCACTGTTAAGTTCATAAAGCCTAAGAATTTCTTCAGAATAGTGATCATGTCATCAAAGTTGCCTTTGGGGAGGTATTGTTTAATGTTGTCCACAAACATCTGTGAAAGAAAGAAATATATTGACCATATTATCAACCATCCCTCAGTCTGAATGCAACGATAACAACATATTAAAACTGAAATCCTAGAGAGACCTAGGCATCCATCATCTGATCAGATCTTCATTGGTTAGCTGTAACTTTGACCTATACTGCACATTTACAATAAGTTTGAAAAAGATCCCATCAGTACATCTGTTACCCTACAGACACAGTGTACAGTAGTGTACTCACTGTTATCCTACAGACATAGAGTGTACAGTAGTGTACTCACTGTTATCCTACATACACAGGGTGTACAGTTGTGTACTCACTGTTACCCTACAGACACAAGTGTACAGTAGTGTACTCACTGTTATCCTACAGTGTACAGTAGTGTACCCACTGTTATCCTACAGAAACATGTGTACAATAGTGTACTCACTGTTATCCTACAGAGTGTACAGTAGTGTACTCACTGTTATCCTACATACACAGGGTGTACAGTTGTGTACTCACTGTTACCCTACAGACACAAGTGTACAGTAGTGTACTCACTGTTATCCTACAGTGTACAGTAGTGTACCCACTGTTATCCTACAGAAACATGTGTACAATAGTGTACTCACTGTTATCCTACAGAGTGTACAGTAGTGTACTCACTGTTATCCTACAGACACATGTGTACAGTAGTGTACTCACTGTTATCCTACAGAGTGTACAGTAGTGTACTCACTGTTATCCTACAGACACATGTGTACAGTAGTGTACTCACTGTTATCCTACAGACACATGTGTACAGTAGTGTACTCACTGTTATCCTACAGGGTGTACAGTAGTGTACTCACTGTTATCCTACAGACAGGTGTAAATTTGTTTATCTATAATTATACCATGGACTGAATATATGATACTCACTGTATTATCCTGTATCACACAGCCCAGTAGCAGAGCTACATAGGAGGCCACAATGCTGTTCTCCATGTGTTTCCCTGCTCTATGGAGAGCTGAAAAACAGAATACAACATTTTATCTTTATGCGACTCATCTTGTAGCGTTAAACCCAAAGTCTGAAACCCAAGGTCATCAACTCTTACCTCACCTTGTAGTCTTAAACCCAGTCATCAACTCTTACCTCATCTTGTAGTCTTAAACCCAAGGTCATCAACTCTTACCTCACCTTGTAGTCTTAAACCCAAGTCATCAATTCTTACCTCAGCTTTTAGCCTTAAACCCAAGGACATCAACTCTTACCTTAGTGAGTAGCCTTAAACCCAAAGTCATCAACTCTTACCTCACCTTTTAGCCTTAAACCCAAGGACATCAACTCTTACCTTAGTGAGTAGCCTTAAACCCAAAGTCATCAACTCTTACCTCACCTTTTAGCCTTAAACCCAAAGTCATCAACTCTTACCTCACCTTGTAGTCTTAAACCCAAGTCATCAATTCTTACCTCAGCTTTTAGCCTTAAACCCAAGGACATCAACTCTTACCTTAGTGAGTAGCCTTAAACCCAAAGTCATCAACTCTTACCTCACCTTTTAGCCTTAAACCCAAAGTCATCAACTCTTACCTCAGCTTTTAGCCTTAAACCCAAAGTCATCAACTCTTACCTCAGCTTTTAGCCTTAAACCCAAAGTCATCAACTCTTACCTCACCTTGTAGTCTTAAAACCAAAGTCATCAATTCTTACCTCAGCTTTTAGCCTTAAACCCAAAGTCATCAACTCTTACCTCAGCTTTTAGCCTTAAACCCAAAGTCATCAACTCTTACCTCACCTTGTAGTCTTAAACCCAAGTCATCAATTCTTACCTCAGCTTTTAGCCTTAAACCCAAAGTCATCAACTCTTACCTCAGCTTTTAGCCTTAAACCCAAAGTCATCAACTCTTACCTCAGCTTTTAGCCTTAAACCCAAAGTCATCAACTCTTACCTCACCTTGTAGTCTTAAACCCAAAGTCATCAACTCTTACCTCACCTTGTAGTCTTAAACCCAAAGTCATCAACTCTTACCTCAGCTTTTAGCCTTAAACCCAAAGTCATCAACTCTTACCTCAGCTTTTAGCCTTAAACCCAAAGTCATCAACTCTTACCTCACCTTGTAGTCTTAAACCCAAAGTCATCAACTCTTACCTCACCTTGTAGTCTTAAACCCAAAGTCATCAACTCTTACCTCAGCTTTTAGCCTTAAACCCAAAGTCATCAACTCTTACCTCACCTTGTAGTCTTAAACCCAAAGTCATCAACTCTTACCTCAGCTTTTAGCCTTAAACCCAAGGACATCAACTCTTACCTCAGCTTGTAGGTTTTAGCCTGATGTCATTTAAAACATTATGAACTCTGACCTCAGATGGTAGACTTAACTTCACCATCGACTCTAACCTTGGATCATAAATTTACACACCTTGTAAACTCTTACTTTGAATTTTCAGACTTCCACCCATCCTGAGCTCCAACTTGAGATTCTAGATTTGAACCTCTTCTTAAGATCACACATAATATATCACTTCCATACACAATTTTATTAAATGAAAGTGAATCAAAGCCAAACTTAAACATGAATATCAACATACCACATGATTCAATTATAATTTTTTTTATGTTGTAGTCTTCTAGTAATAATTTCTACTGGAATTTACTTCAATATATATTACTTTACATGGAAATTGTCAATTTTTCATTAAAATATTGTGTATATAGACTAAAATACTGGTAAGAGAATCTTTAACTGTATCCCTGCATTGTAAAGACAATCTTTAGCACTACCTTGTTTTTAACCCTGCATTGTGAAAAAGATAATTGTAAACACTACATTCAAAAGATTATCTTGCATTGCAATGTGAAACTTTTCACTACATCAGAAAGATAATCTTCAATCCTGCACTGCAATGTGAAACTTTTCACTACATCTGAAAGATAATCTTCAATCCCACATTGAAATGTGAAACTTTTCACTTCATCTGAAAGATAATCTTCAATCCCACATTGAAATGTGAAACTTTTCACTACATCAGAAAGATAATCTTCAATCCCACATTGAAATGTGAAACTTTTCACTTCATCATGAAGATAATCTTAAAACTCCTCAATGGTATTAACCTTTTGTGAATGTGTCATCATCATCTAGGTTAGCATTTTTGCCATCCTCCTCATTCTGTCGGAGTTTTTCCTTTAGAGGTGTGTCGTCATTCTTGGTCCTGTCTTCGCGCTCCGCCTGTTCTGCCTCCTTTGCCTTTTTGGCAGAGTTTATAACCCATTCTATACCAGAGTCTGACTCCTTCCACTCTCCACTCTTGTTGGGCGATGCCTGAGGGGTTGTAGGCTCACCAAAATCCTGCTCCTCCATTTTCTTGGCTATTTCGTATCGATGACAAAACACCTAAACAACAAATGAAATACATTAACTCAAACAAACTATACCATAGATTATAACTGACACATTTGTTTGTTGGGGTTAACTGCCCAATCAACAGCCAAGGTCATTTTGAAGTGGGGTCTCCTGGTAATAGTTGTCTGCTACCTCACTAAACAACATATGGGTGACTTCCATCGGAAAACTCAGAACACAATAACAACAGGATTACATAGTTCACAATAACACACTGCACAATAATACAGTACAAAACAAGAGGCCCACTGGCCTGAACATTTATCTGACGACAAAAACTTTCAGCAGGGAAAAGGGTTGCTTTTTCTACTTTGAATAAAATCTTACTAAGAAGCTGTTTCCAATGATGCAGATAGTTTTGGTGAGGAGTAGTTAAGTGTAACAAGTGATATATACTTAGATAAAATAACATTTGCTTTTTTCATCTTGGAATAAAATAGAAACAAAGTATTCCCTGGAGACCGCGAGTGTTCCAATATGTAAGCGTGGCTTTCACATGAGTTTATACAGGATCAGTGATATTTTAAATGGTACGCAATAGAAACAATTCTATAAATTATCAGTGTATCAGCATCATTAAGATGATGTTTGCGATATAGCACTGAGGTTTAAATCAACCTAAATACCAATTTAAAGTCCTGATCTCCATACACTTAGCCATACTCTGATGTGATTGGTCCAGATTGTCTAACTGTCACTTAATCATATCTGATGTGATTGGTCCAGATTGTCTAACTGTCACTTAATCATATCTGATGTGATTGGTCCAGATTGTCTAACTGTCACTTAATCATATCTGATGTAATTGGTCCAGATTGTCTAACTGTCACTTAGTCATATCTGATGTGATTGGACAGAATAGTCATACCTGGACTAGAGCCTTCGGAGCCGGAATTAAGTCTTTCTGGTGTTTCTCAAATTCATAAGGTGAGTCTATTTTGGCATCAATGAGACGTCGACGGTTAACCTCACAGTGTTCCACCAAGTTGATCATCAGACCCAGACTCTGTATGAAAAATTCAGTTTCAAATATCCATTCACTCTCTGAACTGGAGTAATTTTGACACATTAGATATATCCTTCTAAGCTGTAACTTATCAATGTATCTTCATATAATGGCACAAAATTTCCCTTTAACAAAAAATCACATTTGAATTAGTTTTACTACATGTATTTGATTTGATGGTATGTCCTGATAATAAGGTTATATGAAGTGTAACTTTCACTTGATCAACCTTTTTTTTTTTACATTTCTACCATAAAATGAAAGAAAGCAGGATATAGTCTGACAACTATATATAGTAAACCTTCCCATATCTATGTCACATTTAAAGACAACTATGAACAACAAATTTTCAGACAACTTAATATCATGCACTATCGATGTTAACCCCTAGCAGAGATTATGATTACTATTACTTGTTACTTTTGTAATTTTATCAGTCAAATCAAAATCAGATTCATCAATAGCCTTGATTAAAAACAGCAAAACTGTGTTCATAAATAATGCCTGACCATTTGTCCCACAAGCAGTAAGCATGTTTGTATATCTGCTTTAAATTTCTGGGCAACAGGTGAATTTTCACTTCTTAGTCCATTTAAGTATGTAACACATTTACGCAACGGCAATTACTACTATCAAAAAAAAACAAAATTTAGAACTACCAATTATGACAGTGCTTTGGACAAGTACCTCTTTTTACAATCTCACCAGCCTTTGTAAACCCTCACCCTCTAAAAAATGAAGATTATTTGTCTTTGTATGTTTACAGAATAAAGGATATATGTTTTAAAATTTATACCTAGTGATAATTTTTAGACAATTTTCCACAATGTTAACTTACCAGCACCAGAATGTCAAAGCGCATGTCCAAAGGTACATGCTGCGGTGTCTGGAGAATACAGGTGAGCACCACATTGATAAAGTCAGCCTGTTCCCCAGTCTTTGTGCTTCCAAATTCTGTAACAAACAACATGATGTCAATACAAAATCAATTTCTCACGGTTGATTTAGATTTAGACAATGGTTCTCTATTTCTGAGCATTCTGGTGTTCTAACCACATTAGTTATACTGCCACCTTTGTTGCTGTTTTAACATTTCATATTTTCTTTATAGGATAGTCAGACAGTTCCCTAATTGTATCACAAAACAATATTTTGGTCGGTGCTTTCCCAATATTAAAGAATGATCTTTCACAATTTGCATAAATTAAAGTCTGTTTTAAAAACTATGTCTCTCACAAAAAGCATAGACTCTACAAGTACAAATTTTAACAATGTTAAATTATTATTTTGGAATCATTTACAATTGCCTCTGAAGAGTGCTTCTTTACACTTTCAAACATCATACATTTTCAAAATGGAAAATGATTGAACATCTATTCACTATTCTTGTAGAAAAAAATTAATCTGATCTGGGTCTTTAGTACCTAACTGAATCATTCACCAGTTGCATGTGCCAGATACAGAAAAATAAAAAATTCTTCAATTCCTGGCTAGAAACTTGAGTAAAGTCATGTGTCCTTCATCCTATCTACGATACATTCCTGAACAAGATTTCTGCAAACGTCCTCCCTCTTCATCCATGTTTTAACTCTCTAAAGTGTTTCAAAATACCATAAACATACCTATGTCAGTGGTAATCTTACCTCAGTGTTTTTCATCTTTCTAGAATTGTACTGAAATACTACTGTGTTAATTGCAGTTTTGTTATGTTAATTATGTAATCATTAGTGTAGATGTGATAATTTATTGCTGAACTAACTTAGCTAAAAATGTACAAAAATTTTATTGTGTCAAATAAGGTACATTAACATAACATAAAATTTCACATCACAAATTCTGAGTTAGTGTTACATGTTACATGTACATGTTTATATTTTTCTTCATACACATTTTTTCTAATTCAAAATGTTAACTGTGTAGTGCACATAATTACAAGTCTTTTACCACTAATTAACAGTTTTAATTAGGCAGTATATATAATTAATTCTGAAAATTATTGAAGGAGGTACTGGTAATTCTAAAATACACAACAAAAATTTAAGATTTCTTACCCTAAATATTGATAAAAATATTGCGAAACCATATATTTTGACTTTGACTATGCTTTGAGCAGTAAACCCTGGGTAGGTGGCTCAGATGAATACAATATCATCTTGTAGTAACATTGATGAAACTACCAAAATCCTGATATAACAAAATCTTCTCTTTCCCCTCCAAATTCATTTTGACTGAAAATCTTTTAATCTATAATTTAAGTGACAAGACTTTGTTTATAAATTCCTTGAAAAAGTTCTCACCAATTCTCTAAGCATCTCTATCTATCTTCTGATTTTTACTTCACATTGACTTCTATAACTATATAAAAAATTTGGTTGACATGAGGGATTCTGAGAAATGCATTACACCAAAATCCTCACCATTATCATGTGTAAGGTTGAGTAAGACTCGGAGGATGGCCAGGACACAGCTGTATACTACATAGCCTGTAGAATCCTTCTCAATCTTCTCGGACTCCACTAGGGGGTAGACGGGCAAGCACTGCTCACACGTGTACAGGGCCCTAAAACAATTCATCTTTTATGTAGCAATGACAAACATTCTCAATGTCCAATTCGATGATTTGAAACCCCTTTAAATATAGTGCCTGCACAGCAAACAACAAATTACAACACATTAAAGCCACATCAGCTTGCCGTCACATTAGAAATTTGCATCAACAAAAGTGATGCAGACTGTAAGTATACCTTTGTTTTGTGAAATTAAATTCTGAAGAATCTTGCAGACTGTTTATAAAAACATGAATTTGACTTGGAGGCCTCATGTTTACAATATTTTTGACAGTATTCCACCTGAAGTGTTTCTTATTAAGCATCATGTGGCATTTGTATGTTCCACTAACATTTTCTAGTTAAATAAGGTATCTTAATGAGTTATACTGAAAGCGTAGAAATTGACATTCCTACCAGAAAAAAACCATGTTTAAATGACTACAATGTAAATATGGCATCCAATGTTAAAAAATCATTATGACAAGAAAATGGATTTTTCTTACCATGTATTGTTACTTTGACTACTTCTGAAAGAATTATCAAATACACACTTCAATGTAAACATATAGAATTTTTATGAAACATGATGAAATACATGTTTGAGATTTGCTTGTTTAAAGTGAACGGCACAAACTGTAGTCATACCTGCAGATTGACTGAACCAACACTCCTTGTTTGTAACTAATCAAATATGTCTGGTTTTCTGTATTGACAAATGTTACCTGAAAAGAATTGAGGAAAATGAGCATACTCTGTTTGAAAATAATCTTTCAAATCTGCCAACAACTGCCCATATAAAATGACTACAGAATAATGAGTTTGTTTCAGTTATCTCCCCTGATATAAATAGTGATTACATATGAATGTGTGATATGTAACACATAATGTCAGACTGGTGTTATTATTCCATAAATCACTATACCTGAACAAGTCAAATAAAATCCAAGTAGTCACCACTGTTGTGTTAATGCATTTTTATGTAAAACCATAATTCTACAGTCAAATAATCAACGGAAGTCAAGTTTCAAGGTAAAAACATAAGTCTATTCTTCTACTGAAAGAAATCAAGTAATGTGACATCAACACTTTATAATAATACCCTGGTACTTAAAGTATTGAAATCATGAACGTTTTTAATATGGAAATTGCTATTTTTGTCATGTTAAGAATCACAATTTTTTTTGAGTGAAATATGTCTGCAAAGCATTGCTTACATTTTCCAATACCCTGAGACAGCGATCAATTTTCTTGAGATTTTCTATGGTGCTATCAGTCAGGAGAGTTGTGTCGTCTCCAACGGCCTCAATGCAAGAACACACTGTCAACAGAATAAAAAATGTCTGGTAAACACAAAGTAACATTTGAATGATTTCTGTAAATCTATTGTAGGTAAAACTTGTCTACAAATAATCACCAACTTCACTGTTAGATCATCATCTTTATAAAACGAAACAATCCTTAACTTCAGAATCAGCAGGACAAGGAGAAATAAGAGAATTAAAATAATTTGTTTCCCATACAGGACATGTCATTGAAAATGTGATGGTGCAAACATCTGGCATATCTAAGCTGTAAAATATGGCAAAGAGATAAATGAACCAGGACAGGTTTACTATGGTTAAGCTCATTCCACCACATAAAAGGAACAATATTAACAGCAATGTCAACCATCATCAACTTTACAAAGAATACTACAATATATTAAACACAACTGCTACATTACAAATCAAGGACATCAATCTCATCAAAACGAAGTGAGCAGGGGCTCATACAGATAAACTTCCCAAATCAAATCTTGTTTACAAGCTTTTAAATCGGCAAAGTGGTCAAAGTGATCAATTTGACCTTTACCCCTAAAATCTAATCAGGTGTAGACCTCGGTGTGAGTATGAACCAATTTGCTATAGGGTTCAGGATATATATTTTACACAAGAATATCTGAGGTGCACATATCTACAATATTATCATTGAGGGCTGTATTACCTGTATCTGTAATATTATCATTGAGGGCTGTATTACCTGTATCTATAATATTATTGAGGACTGTATTACCTGTATCTACAATATTATCATTGAGGGCTGTATTACCTGTATCTATAATATTATTGAGGACTGTATTACCTGTATCTACAATATGATAATTGAGGGCTGTATTACCTGTATCTATAATATTATCATTGAGGGCTGTATTACCTGTATCTACGATATTATCCCTGAGGGCAGTATTACCTGTATCTACAATATGATAATTGAGGGCTGTATTACCTGTATCTACAATATGATCATTGAGGGCTGTATTACCTGTATCTACAATATGATAATTGAGGGCAGTATTACCTGTATCTACCATATTATCATTGAGGGCAGTATTACCTGTATCTACAATATTATCATTGAGGGCTGTATTACCTGTATCTACAATATTATCATTGAGGGCTGTATTACCTGTATCTACAATATGATAATTGAGGGCTGTATTACCTGTATCTACCATATTATCATTGAGGGCTGTATTACCTGTATCTACAATATTACCATTGAGGGCTGTATTACCTGTATCTACAATATTATCATTAAGGACTGTATTACCTGTATCTACAATACTGAGGGCTGTATTACCTGTATCTACAATATGATAATTGAGGGCTGTATTACCTGTATCTACAATATTATCATTAAAGACTGTATTACCTGAATCTACTATATTATCATTGAAGGCTGTATTACCTGTATCTACAATATTACCATTGAAGGCTGTATTACCTGTATCTACAATATTATCATTAAAGACTGTATTACCTGTATCTACAATACTGAGGGCTGTATTACCTGTATCTACAATATGATAATTGAGGACTGTATTACCTGTATCTACAATATGATAATTGAGGGCTGTATTACCTGTATCTACAATATGATAATTGAGGGCTGTATTACCTGTATCTACAATATTATCATTAAAGACTGTATTACCTGTATCTACAATATTATCATTGAGGGCAGTATTACCTGTATCTACAATATTACCATTGAAGGCTGTATTACCTGTATCTACAATATTATCATTAAAGACTGTATTACCTGTATCTACAATACTGAGGGCTGTATTACCTGTATCTACAATATGATAATTGAGGACTGTATTACCTGTATCTACAATATTATCATTGAGGGCAGTATTACCTGTATCTACAATATTATCATTGAGGGCAGTATTACCTGTATCTACAATATTATCATTGAGGGCTGTATTACCTGTATCTACAATATTATCATTGAGGGCTGTATTACCTGTATCTACAATATTATCATTGAGGGCAGTATTACCTGTATCTACAATATTATCATTGAGGGCTGTATTACCTGTATCTACAATATTATCATTGAGGGCTGTATTACCTGTATCTACAATATGATAATTGAGGACTGTATTACCTGTATCTACAATATTATCATTGAGGGCTGTATTACCTGTATCTACAATATTATCATTGAGGGCTGTATTACCTGTATCTACAATATTATCATTGAGGGCTGTATTACCTGTATCTACAATATTATCATTGAGGGCAGTATTACCTGTATCTACAATATGATAATTGAGGACTGTATTACCTGTATCTACAATATTATCATTGAGGGCTGTATTACCTGTATCTACAATATTTTCATTGAGGGCTGTATTACCTGTATCTACCATATTATCATTGAGGGCTGTATTACCTGTATCTACAATATTATCATTGAGGGCTGTATTACCTGTATCTATAATATTATCATTAAAGACTGTATTACCTGTATCTACAATACTGAGGGCTGTATTACCTGTAACTACAATATTATCATTGAGGGCTGTATTACCTGTATCTATAATATTATCATTGAGGGCTGTATTACCTGTATCTACTATATTATCCCTGAGGGCTGTATTACCTGTATCTGCAATATCATCATTGAGGGCTGTATTGCCTGTATCTACAATATCATCATTGAGGGCTGTATTACCTGTATCTACAATATTATCATTGAGGGCTGTATTCTTGTATCTACAATATGATTATTGAGGGCTGTATTACCTGTATCTACAATATTTTCATTGAGGGCTGTATTACCTGTATCTACAATATTTTCATTGAGGGCTGTATTACCTGTATCTACAATATGATCCAATGCACCAAGTGTGCGTAGCTCCTCCTTAAACCATTCACCAGCTCGTCTTGAAGTCAGACTTAACAAGGATTCCATGGCCAAGTTACCCGTCTATAAAATAAATCACATTAAATCAAAAATGAACATTAACAGCCTCCATGACATAAACAAACATTGTCAAGTATCTTGGATATAAACATGGTAAAGGCTCTTGGATATAGATAAACAAACAATTTCAAGTCTCAAAATTGAAACATTGACAACTACAGGAAAAAAAACCTAATTATGCCTTTTGAGAAAAATTCATATAGTTCCTTCAAAAGGAACGGTTATAAGATACAAAATCAAAGCTGGTTATTGTTAACCAGATAACAACTAATTCCCAATGGAAAAATACACATGAAAGAATAACTCATTTGTCAAATCATTTCCTGGGTAATTTTTATTGATTTGTTTTTAAAATGAAGAATCAAAAGCAAAAGGCTACTCCTTTCTGACAGTTGGTGACAATAAAGTTAGAGCCCCACTTAAACTGTAACTATAGTACCCTGTTCCATTAACCAAAACAGAAGGAGTCAATATTCATTTGATTTATCCTCTGTGAGAGGCCTTGAATACTTTTAGATAACCTGATATTCATAGATACAAGGACGAGATCTATCTGCCTATATAGTTTCATGTTAATACCTCTTGTAGTTTTAGTGTAATGCTCTGGACAATTTTTAAGTATGAAAAATAACAAGGGCAACAACTCTTAAATTATGTAAAAGAGAGTGATGGTTCTTGTGCACTACAATTCTCCTTGTTGAGATTTATCTATGTAGTTTTATGGTGATACCTCTTACAGTTTTTGTGTCATTTTCCAGACAAAATTTAACAGACGAACAAATGGACAAATGGATGGACAAAGTGGCAACTATAGGCTATCCCTTCGAGGAGCATACAATAGTAAGATATACACATACAATATACACATTAACATATTAGATGTATGTATGTCATTTTCCTCTAATTGTTTTTCTAACATTTTCATTCTGAATATATGTAAAATCCTGTTATCATAACAGAACACTATATTTAGATTAACATTTAATTGCAAACCACACTGTATAATATTCCGTTGAAAACTTCAATTGAAAACCTTATTGTGATATAACATGTTGGAGATTTCAATAGTAAAACACATTCTATCTTTTATAAATTTTCAGTAAAAGTTTTAACTAATTCAGTTTTTAATTGTTTGCTTGAGTTTTGTTGTCCAAAACAGAGCGTTCCTTCAATGGTAAATACCAGGCATGAGAGACCCAGTCTTGGGGTTGTTTGGTGACACTGTCATTGTATGTTTTTGTATTATATTCATAAATCCTAGCAGAGACTTATCATCATCTGGAGAGAATGTCTTTGGGTACTGAAATGGGAGGGTATAGGATATTTCCATAATCTAATATAATTTAAGAGAATGTTTACAGTTATTTTTATGAGATCTACTTCAATTTCAATGAGGTCCACTGGTAATTCAATGAGAAGGTATACAGATGTTTTAAGGATATGGTGGACAGATAATTTAAGAGGTCTACTGTTATTTTTATGAGAAGGTATACCGATGATTTTAAAAGGTCTTCTTATGTTTCAATGAGGTCTACTGGTAATTCAATGAGAGGGTGTACAGATATTTCAATGAGGTCTTCATTTCAAGAAAGCATCTACTTTTCAAGTTTTGATCTAAAGATAGACACCCAGTTTCCTTAAAACTCAAAGAGACACTGGTTATTCAATTACAAGGTCTAAGTTTAAAGAAAAATTCTACTAAGGTTTGATCTAAAGATAAACACCAAGGTTCCAGGGAAATATGAGATACTGATAATTCAATGAGGTCTAGAGTTAAAGAATGTCTTTAATCTTAAGTCAAACACTAAAGATTCCTAAGAACTTACAGAGATACTCTCCAGGTCTGGCAACTTTGTTCCACACTCCAGCTGTAACTGCATATACACTTCACCAACCCGGGCACGGTTACGGTTGAGTGCACGCTTCCCTGAGGCTGTAATAGTGGCACTGAGCTGCTCCTGGTTGTCGACGCCTAATAATTTCAGCATGAGGTCCAGACTATCACCGTCCAAGTCCATATTCAGACGATCGCGACTCAGCATAAACATCAACAGGGCTGTGCATAGGGCGAGACTCTGCATCAAAACACAACAATATTACTGAGGTGAATAAAAAGGTAATTACGTACTCTTCCTTCAGTTAAATTATATAAAACAATCAGGGTAACTCTAGGGTTTAATTATTTAAGTGATCACTTAAATGCTTCATTTGTTTGTGCGGCCATCCATATCAAACCAAACTGGGCAGTTTGGCTTCATGATGCATACACACAGAAATATCAACAACCAGACCAGCACATTCTATGCATGATATCTTGTTTGTAGACCATGAAATCCCTCCCTAAAGTGAAGTTTTGTTGTGTCCTTTAAGACTTACAGGATCAGTGCAGGCATCTTGGAGGGAAGAGAAGATCTTGGCTACCGTACCATGGGCTCTCAAATGCATCCTGAATGCAGGTAAAATACATTTCTGGGCGAGGCCTGTACAGCTGAAATCGAAAAGACTATACATCAGTAAACCCTTTTTTAAAAGTAAAACACAGATGTTGTGATAATAAACAGACAATAAAAAATTATTTATGAAAGTGATAATAAACTATGAGTAAAGTTTAACTTTCAATTATAAGATGGCCAGCTGACAGTCATTTTTACAAATGACAAAAAATTGAATATGCACAATGAGGAACAGAGGGGAACCTACAAAATAAGTTTGAGAAATATCCCTCAAGTACTTCTAAAGAAGTGATGATAACAAATTTCAACCGTCAATTATTGCCTGCTGATCAGTCTCAAAATCAAATCAGCACAACAATGGGTGACATACATATAAAATACTTCTAAAGAAATATAGTGATAACAACTCTCACAATATCCAAGAGGGCTGCCTTTCTGCCATATTGTGTATATTGATTAGTCTCATAATTAAGTTGACATGACTAGCGACCATTGGAAACAAGCTCATTAAGTCTGAGAAATATCCCGCCAAAACGCCTAAAGATGATGAAAAAGCGCTGGAAACTTTCCATGGTCTAAATCCAAGATGGCCTCCTTTTAGCCATTATGATTCACAGATTACGCAAAATTAAATGGCCACAACTAGGGACAGTAGAGAACCTATCAAGATTTGTTGACAGTATCCGAACTCTACTTCAGCCATGTTGGTCACTGTGGACAAATGGGACTTTTGGATGGCAGTATCTGTACTCTACAGCAGCTGTTAAAACACTGAGATGGGTTTTGTCTGCTGCCTTCAACAGGTAACATTTTACAATAACTGTTAAATGCTGTAAATAATCTATATTACCTAAGGCAGCGTGTGGACATTGGTTGTCCTTCCTGGAGGCCAGCCAGTAGGTATTCGACATCATCGGCAAACTCCTGAGTCTCGCCATATTCTTGACACTCATGAGCTTGTTTGACATTCTTAACTACTGTGTACAACTGAAACAAGAATTATGACATGAAACATAATCTTCTGACACTTTAAACACAGTGACATATCATGGTTTTAGAAATCAGTCACTCTCATCACGGAAACAACATTCAGAATTATGATATTAACAGTGAACAAGAGGCCAAAAGGCCTGTATCGCTCACCTGGATCCTAAAGCCTAACAATGTTTTACATGCCTACAGTTTGGGTATTTCAAATATTTCCAAATTAAAGCTCAGCCACTTCACTTCTTTGATGGGGCAGACCAATGGATCAATTCTTATATCATGACTGTCTTGCTCTTTTGATTCCTAGTAAGAGTTTATATGGTTATCAGGTTGGTATCTCAACTTTATCACAAATATGACCCAGAAATAATGTCCCTTCAGGTGTGGCACATCCAAGAGTCAATTCTTACACAACCAAAGTGTTTATCTCTTGATGCCAAGCAATTCTTTATATATATATGGTTATGGGGTGGGGATTTCAACTGTTTCAAAGATATTACCCAGAAATTATGTCTAGAGGGGTGGGGCCAAACCAAAGGACCAATTCTTACATGGTGATGTGTTTATCTCTTGACGCCCAGCATTGCCATATATGGTTTAGGGTTGAGGATCTCAACTGTGTCAAAGCTATTAACATGAAACAGTCCCTAGAAGTGGGGTTAGACTTCAGGGCTAATTCTTAAATCACGTTTGTGTTTATCTTTTTATGCCCAGCAATGCTACACATGGTTATGGATTTGGGGATCTAAAATTGTTTTTGAAAAACATTTATAGAGCCCCTCCTCACCTGGTCTAGTGGGCGTGATCCACCTTTTACACAAAATTAATTCACATTCACAAAAACATGATTCACACCAAATTTGTGCAAAATACAATCATTCCTACAGGAGGAGTAGAATTTTAAAGAATTTATTTGGCCTGTTTTGGGTCCCGCTCTTCAAGCCCCAGGGGACAAGACCCATTGTTTACATCAAATTGATTCCTCTTTACCTAAACATAATTCTGACCAAATTATGACAAAATCCAATCATTCTCACATGAAAGTTTAAAGAATTTGCTCTTATTCCCATACTGGGCCCTGTCCCTCACACCCAAGGGGACCGAAATCCACCATTTATACAAAATTGATTCCTCTTTACCAAAAGATGCTTCTGACCAAATTTGGCTAAAATCCAATCATTCCTTAAGGAGGAGTCGGCATTTAAAGAATTTGCTCTACTTCCCATATTGGCGCAGCACACCATTTATACAAATAAAGGTATTCCTCTTCTCCTAAGGATGCTTCTAACCAAATTTGGTCAATATCCTCTCAGTCATTAATGACTGGTAGCATTTTGTAAAAAAAAAGTTGACAAAAGATGGACAGACACTGGGAATCCTTACAGCTCACTTAGCCCTTCGGGCCAGGTGAGCTTAAAACATTGAAAAGCAAAATAATTCATCAGCATCCAATTACATTTAGATTATTTAAAATTTTTTTTTAAGTATTTAGCACCTATTACAACTCAGACACATTCACTATGTATTTATCTTTTATCAAATTTCGTGTGAATGATCCTTGGATCCTTTCAGACATGCTGTGATGAAGTAACACTCAGTATGCAGCTATCAGACAATGTTGTAATGAAATGACCATCAATAATGGGCTTGAACCCTCTGTACCTCCTTGTGTTCCTTAGAGACGTGAACAGAAGTATATGCCTCGTCCCCTAGTCTGTCAGGCCAGTGTACTGCTCTCGACAGCTTTGGAGGCTCATTCGGTCGCTCTCCTGGCTCTTCAAACTTGGGTGCCATTTTTGGGATGGGCATAAGCTTTGGAGGCCCAGATACATCCTCCTTATTCTTGTTCTGTAAGTGAAAATATGACATAAAAATCAAGGGTCCCAAATATGACTTAGCCTCCTGTTGATGTCACTGTTCATTACCTAACTATAAAAGTACCAGTCTGGCTAATTCATTAAAAACATTCTCATGTATTTTTCATGACACAAGTAATCATCAAAATTCTGAACAAGTATATTGATGCTACTTAGAAAATATAAGTTCACCACTCGATGATATACAGAAATCATTATCATAGAATGTCGTTTAAATAGTTATACAAAATTAAACATAAAATGTAAAGATAAAACAATAAAAGATTTCATTCACCATGCAGCTACTACATACAACAGACAGCTGTCTATGCCACAAGCATTGTACAAAATAAACTTTAAAAGAAAATAAGCTTTAACTTTACAACCAGCTTTCTGCTGTAGAACTGATAGCTTATCTACTGATGACCTGGAAACTGAACCAATATATGCTGATGTGGTTGTGTTGTTGAGCAAGTCACTTCACCAAATTGCTCTGGATGACATGCGATATGCCTATGTATGTTATTCAGTGAGGAAGCTAACAGCCATAGCAAAGAGACCTCACCTCAATATGACACTGGTTGTTCACAGTGTGATAAACCCATCACACAATGACAAGTCTGAAGCTCTTCTGGCGATAGAGTGACCATCCTGTACTATCTCATCACTTTACTTAGATTTCTATACTAAACATTGTTTGTTTGGTTTATTGCCAACAACCAGGATTATTTGAGACGCGTTCCTTTGTACTATCTGGTGGCTACCAAACTAAACAGCGTACTGGAGGCCCAGTGCATGCCATTCAGGGCAATTTGGGTAAAGTGTGGTCCAAGAACACCATGCCATCACAAAACAATTCGTATTCTAGTTTCCTGAAAACTGTCACAGGTAGGAAGTGTCAAACTTCACACCTCAGCTCTTCACCTGTGGTTACAGAGGCCAGTGCTCTAACAGACCAAGTTATCACAGTCCAACGATACATTTCATAGTGAGTACAAGATAACTGTACTGATAAAAAACTTCATATTTATATTCACTTAACAATTACCTACATTTAACTCATGTGTGTAAACACAAAAAATTTCCTTGATAAATAAAATCTTACTTCTAATGCACGTAATTGTATTTTCAATGTTCATAAACATTTAAGTGCGTTGGCCAAATAAACAGTATTTAGATTCTATAAAGTCCTTAAATAACAATGTAGAATTTCTGTCTCCTCAATGATAAGCACTGTGTTTAACTTTGACAGCTTCTCATTTGGTAAGAATATGTCTAGTAAAAATATCATGAAGTTTTGGTATAAAGAAAGAATGCATGAAAATTCATGTTTTCTTTGGTTGCCCTTAGAAAGTGTTCACATGCTCTAGATCAGAGATTCTGTTAATATAGACAACTTCTACCAAGCAATTCCTGATTTTAAAGCAAAATTAAATGCAGATATTTTTTCTGTAAGCTGCTGTATCTATACAAGTAATATAGGAGATGTAATGTAGAATTATTTTCTATAGCTGTTAAAAATATACATACATTAACAAATTTCACATACAGTATGCTGGTAAAATGTCTCATGCCAAAAGAATCAATTCAGGTCTTTGCTTCATATTTTCTTTATACATTTTTTTTAGTATTACAGTGCAACTTCCCCAAACTGATCACTTCTTGAAACCAAACGAAGTGGCAATATACAAAATGATGTCCTTTTTCTGATAGTAATGAAAACCTTCTCAATACTGATCCCTCTCTATTCTGAATATCGAACCAATTCTGTGTCCAAAATGATTGAAATGTACTTAAAATCACTTCTGAAAACCAGCATTACCTGAACTATGAAGATCTGTGAAATCAACACCTGTGGTGACATTGTAAGCTTCGCACTATGGGTAGGCTTTGTACACAATACCTACCCTAATAAGGACAATTTCATCAAAGCAAAAAACAGATAAAGTGAAAATAAGAACTGATGCAGAATCAGAAAGCCACAGTTTTGCATCTAAATCTTTGGTAATTAAATGTTATCATTATAACACATACTTAATGGAAATATTAATCAAATGATGTTTTATACTGATCAACAAAAACGGATATTCATTAAATAAATTGGTTGGTAACACATTTGACAAGCTTACAATCCAATTGTGGCCAAATACGTACATCAGGCTGTATGTAACATTACTGCCAAGATCGCAGGGCAATGTGCAGATTTCTTTCCGACTAAAGCCACATATAGTGTACAAATATCACTATTTTTTTTACTTTACCAAATATTTTGCTCTATAAAGCCTTTTTTTTTGCAATCAGTTAGACATGTGCAATGTAAATGATGAAAGAGGATGGAATGGTTAATATAGTGTACAGAACAGAATCAGTTCAATTATATTGGAGTCTGGACAGGCCAGCTTGCTGTACTTCTACAGACCAAACCCTCCCTTAAGTGGCTAAAATATTCATGTCCCATGCAGGGTCGGCTTGGAGAAGTTCCACTGTATTTCTTTTTTTTTACTGAAACAATTAACTGTAAGCATATACAATCTTTATTGTTTTATTCATAGGAGAATTTAATTCACATAAAATCTATGCCAAAAATAATTTTCAACGGTAAATGATAATACTTGGAATTAGAATAGACTAAAATGCATAATTTAAAGCTGCAAATTTGTCTGATTAAATAACCTTGAACATCAGTTGATGTTCAGTAGACTGTGTACCTTAATGATGCAAAATTAAGCTTACAAGATCTTTTTTAACACTGGAATTAATATTATCCTAAACTTGCAAGTTGAAAAATTATGGCGCAGTAAAAGGATTTAAATATAATTCATCAAAAAATAAGCAAATAAAAAGGCAAAATAAAAAAGCACTATGCACATTTTTGATAAATGTTACCCTTTCCTCTTCATCAAAGTCTTCTTGCCAGGAGCGGACATTGTACACAGCTTTAGATGGAGACTGAAACAAATAGCCAAATCTGTGAATAGGTTGACAACAATTTTTTTTCATTTTGGATGAAGAAGACAATTTAATCACAAATTAAATGTTTCCATTGCTTAAGATAAACAGCATGTTCCTATTAGTCATTATAAGGAAGTGTTCAACAACATTATAACCAAAGTTTTGTGTTACCTTTTTGGGACTTTGCAACATTTTCTTTTGCATATCTCCTTTGTTTTTGGATTTGAATATCTTCTTCTCTCTCACACGGACTGTCTTTGTCTTGGTCAATTGGGGAGCTTCTGCCTCATTGTCCTGAGAGTCTGTTGATGCCTGACTGAGGTCTTGAGTGGTCTGAGAACTGTCCATTTCTTCTTCTTCTGACTGACTTCCCTCACTCTGCTGCACAGCTTGTTCGACCTCACCACCAACACCCATGGATTCAGCTGCTGAAGGACCATCCTGAGACTTCCCCAAGCTTTCTGTGCTCTGTTGGGATTCCGCATCTTCATCAAAACCAAATGATGTGGAAATATCTTGCTTCTTTTTATTGGTTTTTACATGATCTGGATGTTCTTTGGGAGTGGTGTTTTGTTCAGAGTTCTGGGCACTCATTTCAATATCCCCTTCTTGCTGCTCTTCTGGACTAGAACCAATTTTCTTGGAATCATTTTCTTCTTTCATTGCTGCTGAATTTCTTGACCTGAAGAACTTATTATACCTAACAGATTTATCAGAAGTGTCCCGACTGCGCTTAACACCCTTTTTGTACTGTATTTTACCTGGGATGTCATTCTCATTTGAAGCAGATGACTGTTCCTCCATGTTTGGAGTAGAAGCACTATTATCTTCTGAAAAATCAAAATTTGAGCTATCTGTGGCAGTTTCCTCCCCCTGACAAAGTTCTTGAGAGTCAGTGCCACTATTCTGCACATCATCTGCAATTGTTTCAGCATTATCTCGTGAGTAAGGGTCTCTAACAGTTTTCTGGTGGTAAAGTTTTGACTTATTTTCACCAGTCGGTGGCTTAGGTGAACAAATCACAATAAGTGTTGATCCCTTACCATGTTTTATTTCACTTTTTTGAAGAACTTTACTGTTGTTAAGTCTTCCTACAGGGTCCTCTGGACGTGGAACATAATTAAATCTACTGTAAACTGCTGGGTCCATGAAATGGCTTCGAAAGTTTAAAACAGTTGCCTTTGGATTCTCATCATCATCAGATTGTAACAGATGCGCTTTAGAGGTCCTAGAAACATTTCCAGAAAATGCAGCCATCTTTGCATTCCTGTTGTAAGTTTGACGCTGTTCATTCATTAGAAGAGGAGCCTCTTCTTCATCTTCCTCATCAGACTGTGAATAAGGGTCAGGCCTGTCCTCTGGATCATTTGCTGCTTCAGCAACTGCATAACTACTGGAATGTGATGCATAAGGTTCTGCTTCAGAACATCCCTCTGGCTCTAGTACTGGCATGTCATCATCATCATCATTAGAAACTGGTTTAGCAAACTGATCCATAGATAATTGTTTTGTACTGTCAACATTCTGTTTTTTAGCAGCACGAGAATAGGTCCTTACAGGTCTTTTAAATGTAGGTTGACTATCAAGATCCTGTGCATCTGGTTCATTCCTGTTTCTTTCAGATGCGTAAGAATGTGATTTCATTACCTTCATATTCGGAATGGCTGGTCGTCCCAAACCTGCTGGATGTGAACTAGAAGAAGATTCTTCCCTTGCGACTTTCTGTCTTGCAATTTCACTTTCATCAGATCCGAATGAGAATGGATCCTCAGTCTCAACCTCTGTTTTAACCTTCTTGCAAGTAGTTTGAAATGGATCCTCATCTCTGACTCTGCTAAACTGTGTTTTACCCCATTTCGTATTTGCTGTTTTAATTGGTATATTTTGAGCTGCAGCCTTGTTGGTCACTATTTCATCAAAAGCCTTGCTTGCAGCAGTCTCCCTTCCATAAGATCTACTATAGGTTTTGACTGCGTATTTGCTCGCCATGACGGATTATCCAGAATTCTGTAATCAAAAACAGAAACGTTTTAGAGTGAAGATAAAAAAAATCAGATTTTCTATCGACATTACGAAAGCATGTTGCATTTCGAAAACAAACAATAGATGTACAACTGTCGGCAAGATTTGCCACAATCTAAGTACAATACATTGTGTTTAAATGATTTTCAACTAATACTAAACAGACTGCACGAAAAAACGTTAAGGAAGTTTGTCGATACATCAACTAATGTCCGATTATAAACTCACAAATCGACAATAAAATACGTTTGTTTATACTTCCGACAGATTGCATGGATTGAGAATTAACAAAAACAATGCCCGGTATATCATGATCACAGCCTCTTAAGCAAGTATATGACAAATTTACTGGCATGATATATGAGTTATACTAAAGCTAACTGATCTATAAGTGCATCATACCTGTACTCTTTCCACATAAGCAGTTTATTTTCTACCGCTATCGATGCCACCTAAGGATAAGCGCCATTTTTCGTGGTCGAAGGCAAAGTAGACAAATGCGCATGCGTACAACGCCATTCCAAGCGGTGCTGTTCACCAATATTGAGGCCTTGTTTCGTATTTTATAAAGGAAGATAACTCTCTGTAGAAAGTGGGAATTATCTCCACTTAGACCATACCTTGTAGTTTAACATCTCCAAAGCTATTACTACCCTCAGAATAAAAGAATTTGTTACGAAAAGATTAACACCTGCAAACTGCTGAAAGATAGAAAATGAAAAGTATGTACATATCTTAAGACCAGATAGCTAGATAAAGGTATTTGTAAATATCTATATGTTACCTACTAAAATCATAGTGTGATCTGCAAATCAATCTGGAACGGATTTTCTCAACGACACAAATCACAAACATATTACCAGCTTCTTGATCTACGCGTTACACTAAAGTAAGAAATAGGTATATAGCTGTTCGTCTCAGCGACCTTTCCTTTCACTTTTTTTGTACACAAGTTTGGCCAAAACATTGATATAAAGACAAGATAACTAAACACATCACAGTAAAGTGATATGCATCGTAAGATAACTGAAATACCATATGGAAACGTAAAATGAATCAGATAAAGCAATGGATCTTCGTTGGTGTTTCAGGGAATTTTTGAGGCCTTCAAAACAGTGTGAAACTATTCAATATTATTCAAATTAAGCAAACAATACAGTCCTACATACCTTATAATCATAGTAAATATTTCTGGGAAAAGTGGTCAATTTTCAGATCATTAAAAAATTACAATCTAAGAAAAAGTATTTAAAACTGAAGTAGAAAAATAAGGGGGGACTCCATTTTCAAAGGTGAAACAAAACAAAACATATAAGAAAAAAGAATGAAATAAAATTTTATAAAAAGTCTAATGCAAACTTTGTTCTGAAAAGTGAAGTAGGAGATTGCCATTAATACAACGCCACCAAGGCATGTATCAAGGTAATGTAATATATTCAAACGACAGAAATATATACAATGTAAATAAATAATCCAGCTACCCTCTCAGACATTTATCAGAAAAAATCCTTTTCAAAGAACTGCAACCCAAACATAGGTATAAGCACTGTTTTAGCCCGTTTTAACCTTTACAAGACTGTGAAGGCATGATCATAAAAGATGTGAGACAAGCGAAGGTTAACATATTCTAAAGATGGTAAGATTGAAATGAGGACCCCGAACAGTATTCTAGATAGACCGAGTGTCCAAAATTACGAAGAAAAATAAGCATGTCTTTAACTCGAAGGTCTCTGTATATCTTTAACTCAGAAGCTTTGAATAGAACGCGTTGTGTCTTTAGAATTCGAAAGTCTGTCTACATCTTCAACTCGAAAGTCTCTGTATAACTGAACTCAAATGTCTCCGTATATCTCAACTAGAAGGTCTCCGTATAACTTAACTAGAACGTCTCTGTATATCTCAACTAGAAGGTCTCCGTATATCTCAGCTAGAACGTCTCTGTATATCTCAACTAGAACGTCTCTGTGTATCTCAACTAGAACGTCTCTGTATATCTTAACTATCTTAAAGTCTCGGTATATATTTAACTTCAGAGCTTCGTATACCTTTAATTAGAGAATTTCCGTCTACCTTTAACTTGAATGCTTTGTATGTTTGAACTTCGAATGCCTCTGAAATCTTTTAAATCGAAAGATTTGTATGATTGTAACTTGAAAGTCTCGGTATTCTTTAACTCGAAAGTGTCTGTATATCTTTAACTCTAAAGCCTTTGTGTGTCTTTAACTCAAAAGCTTTTCCACATCAGACTATTCATCGTATGCTTTTCAAGGACTTCTGAAGGAATTGTATTCAAGTGACTCGTGTCCCATACACTATGTTCGTCACATAACGTCTCAAACAGCCAAAAGCTTACTTAGAAAGTCACTGATAGTGTTGACCCGAAAGTTTGAATGAAAACTTTAAAAAAAGCTTAAAGAGATTGGTTCAGTCAGTACCTAGTTCGGGAGAATAAGCTGTCGATTTACATAGTGTAGTATACCAAACTAGCTCAGTGGATCAACGGCTATTCCTTATCTATGTTCATGATTTGCTAATAAGTATTGACACAGAATGTAAGCTTTCATATGTAATGTCCCAAGAAACTTTCCAATCTTGCCAGGACCACTTGTTTGATAATAAACTTCCCCAACACCCTCCCTGGCAACTATTTTACGATGGCATATCGTCTCCCTGATTACTTACTTACAGTAACGTTTTGTGGTAATTAGAAACTGAACGTTAATTCCATACCTTGCTTAACTTTAAGAGGAATTCTTTTCCGATGGTTACGTCGTTCAGAAAAGGAACCATATGCTAATTGTTATTGTACAGAAATAACTTACAACCTGCTGTAAAATTTACGATAAACTTGATTTTCAGAACAAGAATTACCTCCGCAGGACTAGGACAACTCAGCCTGCTGTAAAATTTACGACAAACTTGATTTCCAGGGCAATAATTTCCTCCATAGGACTGGGACAACTCAACCTGTTGTAAAAGTTACGGTAAACTTGATTTTCATGACAAGAAATACCTCAACAGGACGGGGACAACTCAACTTTAAACAAGTTATACTGAGTCATGTTTTCAACATTGTCCACAATAAGTGTTCTTGTGTGATAGAATTATTAATGACAAAGGATATGATACAAACACAAGACTTTGGAGTATGGAATAAAAAAAGACTGACCGGACAATAAAGATCTAAATATTTTTCAAAAGTGCGATACAAGACTGGGATAATCTCTCTGATAACACCAAGAAGGAAGCAACAAACAAAGTTAAAAAACACATTTACCAGTTTTAATATTTTTTTTTATCTCACAACGGTTCTTTGTTTATTGGTTATTTATTTGTTGTTTTATAATGTCATATAAATGTTCCTCTGTGTACATCTTTGTGTTGTGTTCTAAAATTTTTAAGTAAACTGCTCTACAAATCAATTAAGGACTCCATAACAAATAAACAGCTTTTGATGGATTCTATCAGGTATTCTTAACGTTTACTAATGGTTGTCTTGGAAACAGTGAAATATCTACACATGTATAATACTGATGTAAGTGACGCTTAATAACTCTTTGTCTATCTTGGCACAAGTCAATCTATTCTATACTGAACAATCTATCCTGGAACTGGTCCATCTCTTTTGACACTGGCTAACCTATCCTGGTAGTTTATTCTGCCAATGGTCAGTCTATCCTGTCACTGGGTAGTCTATCCTGTCACTGGTGAGTATATCCTGTCACTGGTTAATCTATTCTGTCACTGGTTTGTCTAACCTGTCACTGTTTATTCTATCATGTACTGTTATTCTATCCTGTCACTGTTTAGTCTATCCCGTCACTGGTTAGTCTATCCTATCACTGGTCAGTCTATCCTGTCACTGGTCAGTCTCTCCTGTCACTGGTCAGTCTATCCTGTCACTGGTTAGTCTCTCTTATCACTGGTCAGTTTATCCTGTCACTGGTCAGTCTATCCTGTCACTGGTTAGTCTCTCTTATCACTGGCCAGTCTATCCTGTCACTGGTCAGTCTATCCTGTCACTGGTCAGTCTATCCTGTCACTGGTTAGCCTATCCTATCACTGGTTAGTTTATCCTGTCACTGGTCAGTCTATCCTGTCACTGGTTAGTCTCTCTTATCACTGGTCAGTCTATCCTGTCACTGGTCAGTCTATCCTGTCACTGGTCAGTCTCTCCTGTCACTGGTCAGTCTATCCTGTCACTGCTCAGTCTCTCCTGTCACTGGTCTTTCTGTCCTGTCACTGGTTAGTCTCTCTTATCACTGGTCAGTCTATCCTGTCACTGGTCAGTCTATCCTGTCACTGGTCTATCCTGTCACTGGTTAGAATATCCTGTCATTAGTTAGTCTCTCCTGTCACTGGTTAGTCTCTCCTGTCACTGGTCAGTCTATCCTGTCACTGGTCAGTCTCTCCTGTCACTGGTCAGTCTATGCTGTCACTGGTCAGTCTATCCTGTCACTGGTCAGTCTATCCTGTCACTGGTCAGTCTCTCCTGTCACTGGTCAGTCTATCCTATCACTGGTCAGTCTCTCCTGTCACTGGTTAGTTTATCCTGTCACTGGTCTTTCTATCCTGTCACTGGTTAGTCTCTCCTACCACTGGTCAGTCAACCTGTCACTGATTATTCTATCCTGTCACTGGTCAGTCTATCCTGTCACTGGTTAGCCTATCCTATCACTGGTTAGTTTATCCTGTCACTGGTCAGTCTCTCCTGTCACTGGTCAGTCTATCCTGTCACTGGTCAGTCTCTCCTGTAACTGGTCAGTCTATCCTGTCACTGGTTAGCCTATCCTAACACTGGTTAGTTTATCCTAACACTGGTATGTCTATCCTGTCACTGGTTAGTCTCTCTTATCACTGGTCAGTCAACCTGTCACTGATTATTCTATCCTGTCACAAGGTAAATCTATCTTGTAGTGTCAATTATTTGACTCATCAATGCTCTTAACCCTTTGCTATTAGTTTCATTCAAAATTTTACAAAATTCCAAAGTCATTTTGTATTGATCTTTACTTTCAAAAAATCTGATGTATCACATGAAACATTTTTGTTCTGAAACTAACTGACAATTCCTAATTTAATAAGATAATGATAATTGTATTTGGCCAATCCTAACCGAATAATTGTAATTGTACTGACAAATCAGAATTTGAACAAACCTTAACAGTAATACTGGACCAATCAGAATTTAAAGGACTAATGATTATACTTGATCAACAAGAATCCTATTGGACCAATCAGCACTGAATTAAGAGTAACAAAAATTCAACAGAACCAATCAAAATTCGGTTGGGAAATGAGACCAATCAGATCTCAAAATAAAGAAATGAAATATAAGCAACATCACAAGATCTTTCCAGAAGTTTTTATTTTATCCTCATCCGACCAGGACAATGGGACAGACAAAGGCACGTCAATCAACTCCCAGGATCCAAGAGCTTCACTCCTAACCTGGTGTGGATATCATTACATGCCTAGTTATTCTTAAGTGTGGAATCAAACTCACCACTTGCTAATGCTATTTTTCCATTGAAGACCTGGATGTTGTATTATTTTGGAATACAAATGTATAAAAGTTTATCACTAATTTCTCCAAAAACTCAAAATTACTACTGCTTTTCTTAATTGACAACAATTAGTAGATCGACTGTTCATAGCAAGCTTGAACACCATCAATGTTTCCCAGTGGGGTAATTGTGGTGTTCAGTAATGGCTACATTAGAAGTTTTAATTAAGTCAAGACTTTCCAAATGTTTCGCTTCTATTTCATTGTACTCATGTACCATCTAATGCTGACAAACAATATATTTGATAATGTTTGCTCTAAAACAAACAATATATTTGACAATGTTTGCTCTAAAACAAACAATATATTTGTCAATGTCTGCTCTAAAACAAACCATTTATTTTAAGACCCTATTTAGAGATGGGATTAACTCTGCTGTGAGGAGTTAAATATGTTCCAGAACAGTCTGTCTGTACTAATCTCAGAGCAGAACGCCATTACATTACCAGGATCACAAGACGTTCCTGCCTTTGTGGAATTTTCTTATTTTCAACCCCACATTCATTGGAACTAATGTCTGAACCAAGTTGCTCAAAGCCTGGTTAGAGTCAATCAGTGGTTAAAGAAAAAAAATTCATATATGATTGAAAAAAAAATGGGGACGTCCTCATCATTGCATGGCTGTAGGCTTATTTTTTTCAATTTGCAGCGACTGAAATTTTTCACCTACCAATGTTGAACTCTGACATAGGTTTGCACAACTCCGGCCTGAGGTACAGGTAAAATTCATTCCATCCATATCCCCACATTTCATCATATAGATTATACGAGAACAAGGAGCAAGTTTCAGACAAAAGTGAAAAAGAATTAAAATACAACAGTATGAAACTGTTGAAAACCTGAAGTATTTCTGCTGGTCTGATTAAATTAAGTTAAATTAGGTTGAATCTGGCTATCAAACTTCTTCCAATAATATATAATGGATACATAACTAGAAACCTGAATTCAACAGGTTACTATCAATACAGGTGTAAGTGTACCAATCTTAACCAGAGTTGTTGTTCCTTTCAGCAAGGTACCACATTGTACTATGTGGGAGATTGTCGTTACTTACAGGTAGGTATCACAGACTACTCTGTGGGAGATTGACATCAACTACAGGTAGGTACCACAGAGTACTCTGTGGGAGATTGACATCAATTACAGGTAGGTACCATAGAGTACTCTGTGGGAGATTGACATCAATTACAGGTAGGTACCACAGAGTACTCTGTGGGAGATTGCTGTTCCCTACAGTTAGGTACCACAGAGTACTCTGTTGGAGATTGTCATTTCTTACAGCTAGGTTACAAAGTGTACTCTGTTAGAGTATGTAAGTTAATCCCTTTAATAATATAATTATAATATCAAATTATTATCAAACACAAGATTGAAAAATGCTGGAGAGCAGAAATCCTATCTTTATAGTTAAATATTGACAACTCTCTGAACCAACTTGTTGATAATCATCAATGTCCTCACCTGATTGACAGTCTAAGGTGTACAATTCTACATTTTTAAGGTAAATATTGAAGGAAGGTAAATGAAAATTTCCTCCATTCTAAGATTGATAATCAGAATGATCATCTGTACACAATAAAAAATACAAGTAATATATACATATACACAAAAAAATCCTTCCTTAAAGGATGTACACTGCTGATGGATTGTTAGTTTATACATGAAATGTCTGTGAATTTTATTAGAAAAATTTAGACTTCAATACAACAAAATATAAATTCATTTATTAAAAAAGTACAAATTGAATAGGTGAAATGAATAGTTTTCCTTTGAACAAAACTATCAAACATCTCTCTTGTGTATCATCTCTATGTGCTACACATGTACACTAAATGGTATGTTCTTTATACATAGTTACACTTTAAATTAACTCACTACAAGTTATTGACACCTAAATCACAATCACAAAGTTCAACGACATTCAAACTTGACATTTTTCCTTATAATTTTCTAGTATACAAGTGCAGTTAATGTCTTCTTCAATGATTAATGTGTTCATAAAATATGTTATTTCAATACAAAAGACAGCAAGATTAACTAAACAGGTACACTGAAACACTGGAACACTGAGATCTCAAAAACACACTAGACATTTACACTGGGACACACAAAGAAACGTGACATCTATACTGTGTGTTTAAATCTAACATGTTGCTTCAAGGATCTTAAACAATTCCAAATACTGATTTATAGCTATATTTGATTTCATTTCTTTTTTAAAAGACATGTAGAATTAGACCTACAACTGTCAAACTCAATAATTCCCAAAAAATGTTACAAAAATATGAAAAGTCTTCCATCTGTGGAAAATCATAGCAACTCTCTGACCTTCAACTGGAGACTTTTCAAATGTAAAAATAAAATAAACACAACCTGAGATCTCAGACAGTCTTACTGAGGAATACACACAAACAGTTCTTGTTGCTTCACAGTGTGAATTACAATCTAACTTGTGTTGTGAAACATACTTACGGAGAAGTACACACAAACAGTTCTTGTTGCTTCACAGCATGAATTACAAACTAACTTGCTTCTTGAAACATACTCACAGAGAAATACACACAAACAGTTCTTGTTGCTTCACAGTATGAATTACAAACTAACTTGTGTCGTGAAACATACTCACAGAGAAATACACACAAACAGTTCTTGTTGCTTCACAGTATGAATTACAAACTAAATTGTGTCGTGAAACATACTCACAGAGAAATACACACAAACAGTTCTTGTTGCTTCACAGTATGAATTACAATCTTACTTGCATCGTGAAACATACTCACGGATATGTACACACAAAGAATTCTTGTTTCTTCACAGTATGAATTACAAACTAACTTGCGTGATGAAACATACTAGCTGAAGAGTGCAATGTGCACACAAATGATTCTTGTTTACACTTGACACCCAATACCACAAATTCATTTCAAAGACACTGATTACTGAGATAAAGGTAGAAAAATGTCACAATTATCTAAAATAAACCAAGTGTTAATCTCCCAGTTTAAACAAAACAGAACAATGACAATACAACTTGTACTTTTATAATCACTTTTGGAAATATTGTTTTAATGATTGGAAGTTAAAAAAGGATCAAACAATATATATATTAAGAAAATAAGGAGTGTGTACGGGTAAAACCTTTCTGGGTCTCGGCAGTGTTAGTAATGCCAATCTGGAATGTTTCATGAATCTGATGAAAGATTTGCTTGGAGTGATTCCATGTTAATGAACCATAGAGTTTTTTCTGATGTTATGATGTCTGTGACACCAGTGTCTGATATAAATAGCAGGGACTTTTTCACAATCATTCAAACATATCACAGAGAGAAGTGAGCAAGAAGTGTTGTAGGTTCAGGGTTGTCTCAGTCCATATCTACTCCATTTACTTCTTCGGCTGGATAAATGAAGGAAAAACATACTTTAGGCTAGAGATGTAGTCAATATACATATAACAGTTACTATGGACACATCAAAATGTGAACAAGAGGTGTAATGAGAAAATGTGAGCTAAAAATTCCACTAAGAAAAAATGAGGAAAAAAATACACTTTATCTAATCAAACTTCACCAACTCAAAAACCTTATCTACCTCATAACATTTCTGTCTGAGCCAAAACTCCTCATGACAAAGGGCTCTGGTTTCTGTTTTACCGTAGCTAGTAGGAATTGGATATCAATACAGAAATAAATGGACCAACCAGCATTAAGGTGACAAGTGTCAGAGAAAATCATGTTATGTGGGAATTCATATAAAATTCAAAATGACAGTTCTAACAAACGATAAACTGAAATACCAAAGTTAACTCAGATGATTAGTCTTAAGGACATATAAATACCTCAACTTGTCATCCTTATAATAAATTTAAATTGTCCTCTTTATACTAAACATGATTGTTCTCTTTATATTAAACTTTTGTCCTCTTTATACGAAACATGATCTGACCTCTTTACACTAACCTTCATTTTTCCTCTTTGTACTAAACTTCACTTGTCCACTACACTAAACATGATTTGTTTTCTTTACATTAAAATTTTGTCCTCTTTTTACTTAACATGCTGTGTCCTGTTTATACTAAACTTGATCTGTCCTGTCTAAAACTTGATCTGTCCTGTCTATACTAAACTTGATGTGTCCTGTCTATACTAAACATGATCTGTCCTGTCTATACTAAACTTGATCTGTCCTGTCTATACTAAACTTGATCTGTCCTGTCTATACTAAACTTGATCTGTCCTGTCTATACTAAACATGATCTGTCCTGTCTATACTGTCCTGTTTATACTAAACTTGATCTGTCCTGTCTATACTAAACTTGATCTGTCCTGTTTATACTAAACTTGATCGGTCCTGTTTATACTAAACTTGATCTGTCCTGTCTATACTAAACTTGATCTGTCCTGTCTATACTAAACTTGATCTGTCCTGTCTATACTAAACTTGATCTGTCCTGTCTATACTAAACATGATCTGTCCTGTCTATACTAAACTTGATCTGTCCTGTTTATACTAAACTTGATCTGTCCTGTTTATACTAAACTTGATCTGTCCTGTTTATACTAAACTTGATCGGTCCTGTTTATACTAAACTTGATCGGTCCTGTTTATACTAAACTTGATCTGTTCTGTTTATACTAAACTTGATCGGTTCTGTTTATACTAAACTTGATCTGTCCTGTTTATACTAAGCTTGACCTGTCCTGTTTATACTAAGCTTGATCTGTCCTGTTTATACTAAACTTGATCTGTCCTGTTTATACTAAGCTTGACCTGTCCTGTCAGTACTAAGCTTGATCTGTCCTGTTTATACTAAACTTGATCTGTCCTGTCTATACTAAGCTTGATCTGTCCTGTTTATACTAAACTTGATCTGTCCTGTTTATACTAAGCTTGACCTGTCCTGTTTATACTAAACTTGATCTGTCCTGTTTATACTAAACATGAACTGTCCTGTCAGTACTAAGCTTGATCTGTCTTGTTTATACTAAACATGATCTGTCCTGTTTATACTAAGCTTGACCTGTCCTGTTTATACTAAGCTTGACCTGTCCTGTTTATACTAAACTTGATCTGTCCTGTCTATACTAAACTTGATCTGTCCTGTTTATACTAAACTTGATCGGTTCTGTTTATACTAAACATGATCTGTCCTGTCTATACTAAGCTTGATCTGTCCTGTTTATACTAAACTTGATCTGTCCTGTTTATACTAAACTTGATCTGTCCTGTCTATACTAAACTTGATCTGTCCTGTTTATACTAAACTTGATCTGTCCTGTCTATACTAAGCTTGATCTGTCCTGTCTATACTAAACATGATCTGTCCTGTCTATACTAAGCTTGATCTGTCCTGTTTATACTAAACTTGATCGGTCCTGTTTATACTAAACTTGATCTGTCCTGTCTATACTAAACTTGGTCTGTCCTGTTTATACTAAACTTGATCTGTCCTGTCTATACTAAACTTGATCTGTCCTGTCTATACTAAACCTGATCTGTCCTGTCTATACTAAACCTGATCTGTCCTGTTTATACTAAACTTGATCTGTCCTGTTTATACTAAGCTTGACCTGTCCTGTTTATACTAAACTTGATCTGTCCTGTCTATACTAAACTTGATCTGTCCTGTCTATACTAAGCTTGATCTGTCCTGTTTATACTAAACTTGATCTGTCCTGTTTATACTAAGCTTGATCTGTCCTGTTTATACTAAACTTGACCTGTCCTGTTTATACTAAACTTGATCTGTCCTGTTTATACTAAACTTGATCTGTCCACTTTATAATTAAACTCCATTTTTCTGAGCTTCCTTACATACCCAGTTTCCCTGCTCTTGCTTGTTCTCTCAACTAGATACATTTTTTCTTAACAAGGAATAACTTACTCTTTTTGGCTATAAATGACATATTGGTAAACATTTACTATCTAAATTATCAGTGTACTCTAACTGACCACTCTATGCCCTTAAGTTGACCTTTAGATGCCTTCTACACTACAAATGTCTGTCCTGAAACTGACCTCTGTATGCTCATAACTTTATGGTATCCTCTAACAGTTATTTGTCTGTTCTGAAACTGACCTCTTTCTTGCCTTTGTTTTCTGCAGAAGCAGCTATTGTTGCTGCTGAAACTCCCCCATTGGTCTGGTCAAAAAAGATGTCAGGAAGAGCATTTCCAAAGTAGACTTTAGTGTTGGCAGCAAGGGTCTGGTACCTTATAAGTTCTAGGTACTCTGGGGTTAACTTTTCCTGTAACAGTTAAAACCAAGGTGTATATCAACAGTATTTATATCATTATAACATAATAACATACTATCATGACGGAAAAGAAGAAGCATCATACCATGTGGTGTTGGAATTACTGATCTACAGACAACATACCGTGTTGTTTAGGTCTCACTGACCTACAGACAACATACCACATTGCTTAGGTCTCGCTGATCTACAGACAACATATTATGTTGTGTAGGACTCATTCACCTACAGACAACATACCATGTTGTGTAGGACTCACTGATCTACAGACAACATATTATGCTTTGTAGGACTCACTGATCTTCAGACAACATACCATTTTGAGTAGGACTCACTGTCTTACAGACAACATATTATGTTGTGTAGGACTCATTCACCTACAGACAACATACCATGTTGTGTAGGACTCACTGATCTACAGACAACATATTATGCTTTGTGGGACTCACTGATCTTCAGACAACATATCATTTTGAGTAGGACTCACTGTCTTACAGACAACATACTATGTTGTGTAGGACTTACTCACTGTCTTACAGACAACATATTATGTTGTGTAGGACTCATTCACCTACAGACAACATACCATGTTGTGTAGGACTCACTGATCTACAGACAACATATTATGCTTTGTGGGACTCACTGATCTTCAGACAACATACCATTTTGAGTAGGACTCACTGTCTTACAGACAACATATTATATTGTGTAGGACTGACTCACTGTCTTACAGACAACATACCATGTTGTGTAGGACTCACTCACCTACAGACGACATATTATGTTGTGAAGGACTCACTGGTCTACAGACAACATACCATGTTGTGTAGGACTCACTGATCTACAGAAAACATTCCATGTTGTGTAGGACTCACTGGTCTACAGACAACATACCATGTTGTGTAGGACTCACTGATCTACAGACAACATATCATGTTGTGTAGGACTCACTGATCTAAGACAACATACCATGTTGTGTAGGACTCATTCACCTACAGACGACATATTATGTTGTGTAGGACTCACTGGTCTATAGAAAACATACCATGTTGTGTAGGACTCACTGGTCTACAGACAACATATTATGTTGTGTAGGACTCACTGGTCTACAGACAACATATCATGTTGTGTAGGACTCACTGATCTACAGAAAACATTCCATGTTGTGTTGTATAGGACTCACTGATCTAAGACAACATACCATGTTGTGTAGGACTCACTGATCTACAGACAACATACCATGTTGTGTAGGATTCACTGATCTACAGACAACATACCATGTTGTGTAGGACTCATTGATCTAAGACAACATACCATGTTGTGTAGGACTCATTGATCCAAAAGATTCATTCTCTTACCTTATTGGACTGAGCTTCTCTTTCAGCAGCATAAAACAAGGCATCACTTTTTGCCTTTTCTTTAGCTAAATGTGTTAAATCTGAAAGAAAAGGAAGTATGAGTGCAACTGATACCACTGGTCTTCCACCACGAATGTGAGTGAGTTGATAATACATTTCTGGTGTGATTTGGTCCTATACTATTGTTAAGAATGACTGGTGTAATTGAATGGTCCATCCTACTTTACTTGTGCGACTTCTGGTGTGAATGACTTGGTCCTACACTACTGGAGTGAATGAATTGGTCCTACACTACTGGTGTGAATGACTTGGTCCTACATTACTGGTGTGAATGACTTGGTCCTACATTACTGGAGTGAATGAATTGGTCCTACACTACTGGAGTGAATGACTTGGTCCTACACTACTGGTGTGAATGACTTGGTCCTACACTACTGGAGTGAATGAATTGGTCCTACACTACTGGTGTGAATGACTTGGTCCTACATTACTGGTGTGAATGACTTGGTCCTACATTACTGGAGTGAATGACTTGGTCCTACACTACTGGAGTGAATGACTTGGTCCTACACTACTGGTGTGAATGACTTGGTCCTACACTACTGGAGTGAATGAATTGGTCCTACACTACTGGTGTGAATGACTTGGTCCTACACTACTGGTGTGAATGACTTGGTCCTACACTACTGGAGTGAATGAATTGGTCCTACACTACTGGTGTGAATGACTTGGTCCTACACTACTGGTGTGAATGACTTGGTCCTACACTACTGGAGTGAATGAATTGGTCCTACACTACTGGTGTGAATGACTTGGTCCTACACTACTGGAGTGAATGACTTGGTCCTACACTACTGGTGTGAATGACTTGGTCCTACACTACTGGAGTGAATGACTTGGTCCTACACTACTGGTGTGAATGACTTGGTCCTACATTACTGGTGTGAATGACTTGATCCTACACTACTGGTGTGAATGACTTGGTCCTACACTACTGGTGTGAATGACTTGGAGATAGAATTTTTGGTTGTTGGAGTTGTGTGGATGGAAGTTAAAATTCTTGTTTTATGAGTTGTGTGGATGGGAGATAGAATTCTTGGTTATTGGAGTTGTATGGCTGTAAATAGAATTCCACATTATCAGAATTGAGAGGGTTGGAGATGGAACAACATCTAATCTGGAAATCCGTTAAACAACAATTAAGTTAAAGACTGGCTATGTGTACAATAGCAAAGTGTTAACATCACAGATACCAGATCTCCCACGTCTAAATTACTAATTACATCAACAAACAGACATCTTACCTTCAATTTCAGATATTTTTTTCTGAGACTCCTTCTCAATAATTTTCTGTTCCCACTGTATCCTGGAGACTTCAGCTAGTTTCTCAGCCTCTGTATATACCCACAAAGATCATGTTGAAAATGCTGCGCAATTTAACACATGTACAGTTTCTAGGGGGAGATAACTCACCAATGATTGTTCTGGTGTAGTTTGAGGATAACTTGCATGTACAGGGGATTAGATTATGTACATCTCATGTTAGAATGACAAAATTCATGACCTGATCTCCAGTATATGCATAAAAAGCATACTATCCACATTCAAAAGTAATTTCAGTCTTAATGCCAATCAAAACGCCTTTTTCAACCAATGATGATGTAGACACTCAACACATTTCAAGTCAAGGATGTAGGTCGAAGCATATGAAAAGTCATTGTATGTTAATCTGTGTAGATTATTAGTCTAAACTGTTAATCATACCGATTACTGTACATACCAGAAATTTGTCATATCTATTGCTGAATAAAAAGGTATTTGTTCACTAAAGTAGATCAATAAAACAATGGACATTGCGGACAGGCATCGACAAGAAATCATGACAGGAGACTCATCTAAAGTTATCAGTGCATTTCTTTCAAATGGAGATTGGGATTTTTGTATCATTATCTATACTATTACCAGTATCCAGTAAAGGTTAGAGACAATACCATGTAACATGATATCATTTAGTTGTGATATTATAACTGAGGTTGATCCCTGGATTGAAAATATCACCTACTGTAATGATTAGGCAGAGTGTATCTTCATTATTAACACATCTAGGGGGAGATTATTCATCAATGATTGTCCTGATGTATTACATAATTAACACATGTACAGGTTCTAGGGGGAGATAACACACCAATGATTTCCTGCTGTATTACATAATCAATAGCTGAACAGCTTCTAGTTAACACATGTACAGGTTCTAGTTAACACATGTACAGGTTCTAGGGATAAAAACCTCAACAATGATTGTCCTGCTATATTACATAATTAACACATGAACAGGTTCTAGGGGGAGATAACTCACCAATGATTTCCTGATATATTACATAATTAATACATGTACAGGTTCAAGGGATAGACACCTCACCAATGATTGTCCTGTTGTATTACATAATTAACACATGTACAGGTTCTAGGGGGAGATAATTCACCAATGATTGTCCTGCTGTATTACATAATTAATACATGTACAGGTTCTAGGGGGAGATAACTCATCAATGATTGTCCTGCTGTATTACATAATTAATACATGTACAGGTTCTAGGGGGAGATAACTCATCAATGATTGTCCTGTTGTATTACATAATTAACACATGTACAGGTTCTAGGGGGAGATAATTCACCAATGATTGTCCTGCTGTATTACATAATTAATACATGTACAGGTTCTAGGGGGAGATAACTCATCAATAGTTGTCCTGTTGTATTACATAATTAACACATGTACAGGTTCTTGGGGGAGATAACTCACCAATGACTGTCCTGTTGTATTACATAATTAACACATGTACAGGTTCTAGGGGGAGATAACTCACCAATGATTGTCCTGTTGTATTACATAATTAACACATGTACAGGTTCTAGGGGGAGATAATTCATCAATGATTGTCCTGCTTTATTACATAATTAACATATGTACAGGTTCTAGGGGGGCGGGGGATAACTCACCAACGATCGTCCTGCTGTATTACATTATAAACGCATGTACAGGTTCTTGGGACAGAAACCTCATCAATGAATGTCCTGCTGTATTACATAATTAACACATGCTCTAGAGGAAAGGGGGATAACTCACCAATGATTGCCTTCTTCCTCTCTGTCTCAGCCTCCTTCTCCACTACTTTCTGCTTCTGTATAGAGATCAGCAGCTTAGTCTTTTCAGCTTCCCTGTTCACAAAGAGAACTAAATTAGTCGCCTCAATATCTTCCCATACAGTATAGTAAAACAGTGTTTAACAAAATGATATGGTGTGTGAAATATAGTTAGAGGTTTCCATAGCTAATTTTCTGAATTTGATTGTCTATACTCAAACAGCAAAGTCCTTTATGTACTTACATTGCTTCATAGTTTTTACGGATCTGCTCTGGAATCTTTGGCTTTGTGACTCTGACAGCCTGGACAGTTAGCCCAGGCGCCATGGTGATCAGATCCTTCTGTAAGGCCACTCGAAGGTTTTCATCTATCTGATCTACACACAAATATAATATATTGTAAGAAGTATCGGATTGTGACTCTGTCAGACCTAAATCTTATACAGATCTCATATTCATTTTAAGATACCAATATACTTTTTGTGTAGTGTTAAACAAAATCTTATACACCTATCATATTCACGTTAAGATATCAATATGCTTTATGCCTAGTGTGATACAAAATTCAAATGAGGAATATTTTCTTTTAAACATACACAAATGATAATTTATCTAGTTATTGCCAGATGATATTAGATGTTTTATATCATTTAGTACCTATAAGCAGAATAATGTACAAACCTCAACCTGTGATATAATGTAAAATTGTTGCACAACAATCCTACAGTTAACTCACCAAATAAATCAATATAGACTTCCTGGAGATTGTTCATGCTACAGAACTGATTGAGTTCATGATGAACTTTGTTGTAGATGAGAGTTTTATCATAGTCAGCAGTATAGTTCCGAACAATATCATACACAGCATTAATATCAAGTTTGTTTACCACTTCTATACGATCAAAGTAGATCATTACACCTCCACTGGAATGATATAAAAACATGAATATCTATTATGTTACTATACAATAATCTGTCGTCAAAATGTCACAACTTCTTTGCAACTTCTTTGAAATGTTGGAAGCTTAAAATTTTGTTAAACTCTGTATACTCTTCACCACATTCTCAAATCAACCAAACATAGCAAATTTTGGATAACAGCATGTATTTGCTTCTTTCAGTCTTAAAGTTTTTTTGACATAACAATGAACAGACATTGCAAAACTTGAACAAATCTATATATCTTACTTTATTCAAGAAGGACAAATCTAATACATTCCTTATTTTCTGTCTTGTTCCACATTGACAAACAAAGTATCCTTTATATTCTACCTTGTTTCACATAGACACATAATGTCCTACATATTCTACCTTGTCCAACATGCACAAACATAATGTCCTAAATACTGTCCTTTGTTCTACATGGACAAATCTAATATCCCTTGCTTTACCTTGTTCCACATGGAACATTCTTCACTTCATCTGTTTGAAGAGTTGTCTACAAAACAGAAATATATATACACTTAAAATCCAATAATGTTCTAACATAGTAATTTATAAATGTTAAAAATGGTGTCTAAATATAATGATAATGGCAAAATATTCCAGTATTATCCCTGTGAAACGTCTTTCGTTCTTTGTGAATATTAGATATCATATTATGGACATGTTTCCATTAAAAATGGCCTGACCTGACCTGAGGTGGTGTAGCCGAAGATTTAATAACTGAGCTATTGTATTGGTACACAGTACAGAAGTTTGTATATTTGTTATTAAAAAGTCAGTGCATTTCTGTGAACAAAGATATTACATTGCTTATCTCACTACAACCAATTTAAAATAAGCTCACCTGTACTGTGCGGTAAGATGTAAGGAATGGCATCATAAAATGGTAGCCTGGAGCACTGACGGACGAAAGCAAGGCTCCTCCCTACAACATAAATCATCTGGCTCATAATCTAATAATTAGTATTCTGCATGTGTTTAAAAGTTTACAAAAAAATAAATGCCAATAGACAGTCAAGGATTAAGGTTGGTGTGTTGTACTAATACCAGGTCCATCCATTGCAAACAAAAAATATCAATTCTAATCTAATAACTTGATCAAAGGCAATCAATTTTTGAATGACTTGCTATAAGAAGTGAAGGATGCTTACCCTGTAATATACTCCAACATGACCTACGAGAAAAAAATATATAACATATCAATATAACATTCATGCTATCAGACAATACACATTCCTTTCACTAATAACATAAAACATTTTGTATCAAGATTACAAGATGCTTCCCCTTGTCTTTTTTCAAATCATCAAACATGTTTCAGACTGAAATCATTTCGAAAACTTTAGATTTTAACTGAAAACTGCAGGTCATAGAAGAAACTACAAAAGGGACAACATGTGGTTGTTTGAAATGTAAAATAAAAACAAATCCTGATTGCTGATTTCTGTACACCAGTTTAACTTCTACGTTTGTGATAGAACTACTGTGAAACCAAAACCTGCCAAGGATGACCTATTTCAAATCCCATGTGACAGTAATTAGGGAGGATGGTAGACAGGACTTATCTGCTCTCTCTTACCCTCATCTATCTTGTGGATGGACACATTGATCAGGAGACCCACTCCAACTGCCAGGATTCCTGCTCCAATCATTCCTGATTGTGACATGGTTCAGCAGCAATGTTCAGCAGCAAAGGTCAGCAAAAATGTTTCTAATGAACAAAATTCAATATTCAATCAACAAATCAAAAATCTTTTCAAACATCTCCAAGGGACTGAGCAACAATTAAACGCATGGAATTTTTTTCTGCCACCGTAATCAGATTTGATGGAAGTGATTAACAAGAAATACACAAATGGCCTGACAAATTCAAGGTAATGTATTCGAAATTTAAGATGAGATAACATTAATTCTCTATAAACGATAAGTATAAATAGAATATGACACATGACGGCTACGTAAATCTGGTACAAACACGTACTTCACGCAGATGATGACATGAATTAATAAATATGATGTCATTGGCATCGGTCTCGTGATAACGGATGTGAAAATCATTCACTCTAGAGTTACATAAAACACTATCAATAAAAAACATGTATCAATGGAATGGTTTAATTTACACACGACATATATATCCGCAAATGTACTCTTGGTTAACCAACGACAAATTAGTGACAGTCGACAGGCCAACCGGCTCAACAAACCAAGGCGTCTGTCAGACGGGAAAACGCCCAAACAGCGAGATATCCAACAAGCATATATCTTTATTGTAATGATTACCTTGACGGAGTCGAAAATTCCAAACTAAATGCAACAGACAACAAGAAAATCAGCCAGAAACACAACTTTCGTTTTACCGGATGAGGATGGTCATGACATGGAGGACGCCATTTATACAAAGCCAGTATTTTATTCCGAGGATGTTTTCGTAAAAAAGAAAGATCCAACCAAATCCAATGTTGATATGTTAATGGCTGAGTCTACATTCACAAATACAAACAAATATATACTATACAAACACTATACATGTACACAGACCACAGAATTATAAAACTGTATCAAACCAACACGCCGGGCAACACTGCCTTATTGATCGGTTGACAGCTTTTCCGTCTCGTGACTCCACCCGTGTTCGGGTATCGTCTAACCGACTAACAACAGTGTTCTGGAGACGTGAGGGGGCGACTTGCATCCCCCTCATTGGGATGGAACCGTCTGTAGCGGTGATCGTTTGTTTATACTAATTTTTGTAGACAGGTCCAGGGCCTAATCATGTCGAATTTAGTTTTCAAAAACCAGCTGTTTCTTCGACAAACACATTATAAATAAAACAACATCATAAAGCAGCACCTGCAAAAACTATGATCGCAGTAAAAGTATACGGACAGCTGCTAGCACACCGGCAGCTGAGACCATCCCACACTTGGAGCTGTCAGCTAGCACACCAGCAGTTGAGACCATCCCACACTTGGAGCTGTCTGCTAGCACATCAGCAGTTGAGACCATCCCACTTTCAACCCGTCTATACCTTGTAGTTTTCACCGATGGGGTGGCCACTGTATTCTCATGTTTAAAACTCATAAAAAGGATTTTCTCTTTATACTAAGTTTCTGAACATATTCAGGTGACAAGCAATTTACAAAAAAATTTAAAAACTTCACATGCTCAAAGTTTTTCAGTCCTTTAATATGTAAAAATTAGAGATTGTACATTAAAAAAAAGTCTTGAAATTGGTAGTATATTCATTTAAAACAAATCGTAAAGCTCTCTCTTGGGCTTTATTTTATTAGTTGCAGGCTGGCTACAAAAGTGCCTAATAAGAGGACAGATTTATAGACTAGCATCTTCACTGTCCTCAGTACAAGACATGTCAAATTCCTTTTAAAACTGCCAGCTGCCTGCTACTTTACGCGCAAAATATCACGATACATAATTGAAAGTGTTGATACTTGTTTTACTTATCAACTTAAGTTTTTTATATATCTTTTAACACATTCAACGTGAAATTAGCAGTTTGTGATTGGCACAAATTAAACTACTTTAATCAAGGACTACGCCATCAAATGGATGGAAAATTAACATAACACAATCGGTTATACTCGATGAAGAACTCTTCCCATGGCTACGTACCAGTTTAGACAGGGTTCTCCCAGGGATCGGTCTTACAATGATAATCATCCCCCTCTTGACCTCTCCTACACAGTAACACTACTCGCCGATGACACCATAGTATATGTCACCGTCATATCTACTAAGTATGCTTTAGTTTTACAAAAATCTTGACAAATTATCTGATTGCGAAATAGATGGAAAAATGGAACTTTCCATCCTGGTAACGCATAGTGTCTCGTCTATCTCCAAGAACAAACAACCCTACAAACTACAAATACTTTAACTACATGGCCAATGTATTCAGCACATCGAGAACACCATTTACGTGGGCGTAACACTACAACAAAATCTGAAATGGGATTCCCTCATCACCAACACATGTAACAAAGATAACAAGTCTTTGGCCTTCATTCAGCGACGTCTTAAACAAATTAAAGAACAAACGTTTAAGTCTTTTGTGCACCCTTCTTTAAGGTATGCTTGTTCTGTGTGGGACCCATACGAAAAAACAAACATTTATAATTTAGATACATGTATGGTACAGCGAAGATCGGCCTTTTTGTCACTAAAATATATCACAATACTTCTAGTGTTAGTAATCTCACAGCCTCGTTGATGTAGGTAAAAAAAAACTCTACCTAAAACCAAAGATCCGGCAGACTCAACTCTTTTATCTTTTTTCCCATCAAACAATCTAAACAGACTGTCGGAAATACTCCTCCTAGTAACTATCCCAGAATGGAGCAAACTGTCACCAGATCTTGTCACAGTCGACTCTCCGAGAGGTTTCAAAACCTCCTAACCTCTACTTAATGTTATCCCCAACACACCAACACCATTTATATCGAACTAACAATTTTCAGTGTATTAAAGGAGGTCGATTAACGTATACAATATTTACACGGAGACTATTAAATAAAGTATACTGACCAGGTGATCCGGAAGGGGGAGTGTCTTAGATAACTGCTTCTTCGACGACACCTGCCATCGCGTTCAATCTTGGTCAATCCAATATGATTTAAGTAAGTCACTTCACTGTCTCAAATGACAGCCAAGCTTGTAACAACAAAACCACGAGGTCGTTCTTAACGAACATCGAATTCATATCTGATTTGACTGGCTACATGCCACAAGTTTTTGAAAAGAATTGCAATGCCAAATTCCTACACCAGCTATGGCTTATCTCCCCTAGTTTTTTTATCAAATAGTGACAATTTCTTATCTTTGGTTATCCTACTTGAGAATACAAGTTCTTGGTGATGCCAGATACTCATGTGTTTGCACTTGGTTAAATTTTATCTGTCATCTGCTGAGCGAAACCAGATTGTATATAATATGTAAATCCCAGTGAAAAATTCGCTCATCTTTAGCACCGGTAATGTAACTGTTAATGTTTAAATCGTCAGTAACTAGCTTTGTAATGTTGATGTTCCCAGAAAGGTCGAATGCGAAACTTTATGAAATACTTTACAAAAGTCCACGTATGTAACACTAGTAGCCTCCCCTGTGTCTAAACCTGGAGTTCCAGTAGTTGTTATCTTTTTAAAACACTGCGGCATCTGCGTCCCATATTTTGATTTGAAGACTTTTGCTGACATTGAGAGACTAGATGGTTGTTTGACGGTTGTTACCTCAATCCGTACTTGGCCGTTCAAGAGACATTTTTCTGTCTCCCAATCATTGTTTTTCAAGGAAGAGACGCTGTTTGCGATAACGTTTTCGATGGAGATCCCGGGAAGTTATTAAATTCCTTGAGGCGTCTAATGTTTATCTAAATTTGGTTAACTACAGCTAAGTTTAATTATAATGTTTGGCCTGATAGCTTCTTAGATTTACCCGCTACTTAAATGTAAACAAACGTTGAACATGTTGGTATTTAACATTTAACTGCCTGATATATGTGTTATTCTTTTGTAACATTTAACATAATGAAATGACAAATATTAAAAAGAACGATCGAATTCGTTCGCCAACAAAGTCATCCATTCCCCGGAAGAAGGTTTTGTGACACAACTAACCTTATGTTATGCAGTGCGGCTCCCAAATTCGAGGAGGTATTTTTGCGTGTGAATGTATATGGAAGAATGAGTTATATCAATTCTAAGCTTACGTAATTTCGCGCCCAGTGGATATTGTAACTACTTGTTGATACTATTGTACTATTGTATTATTGATACAAAAAAAATGTAATGAAAATGTGTTCAGCTCGATTGCTAGTGCGAAAAGTTCTAATATCTGCGGAAACAAAGACAATTTTATTAACAAATGGAGAGCTATAGACTTATGGTTTAGGATAATTAAATTACGTCTTGCTCAGATGTAATAACTTTGTACCTCTGTGAAGTCTTACGATTTCCCAGCGATCAGTGATGTATACATGTCGTCGACTTGTTCAGTGTGAGACTCAAATAAACTATTTGGATTTTTTACATATACTTATCGCTATGCCGTGCGTTCACGTGGTAAAGACGAACACTGCTTTGACATATAAATATTCGTGAATGAAGTAAAAGATTTAAGTGCTTTCGGAACAACTTTCTTGATATTACCTTTACACGATATATAAGTGTGCATGGAAATATTACCTTTACACGATATATAAGTGTCCATGGAAATATTACCTGTACACGATATATAAGTGTCCATGGAAATATTACCTGTACACGATATATAAGTGTCCATGGAAATATTACCTGTACACGATATATAAGTGTCCATGGAAATATTACCTTTACACGATATATAAGTGTCCATGGAAATATTACCTTTACACGATATGTAAGTGTCCATGGAAATATTACCTGTACACGATATATAAGTGTCCATGGAAATATTACCTGTACACGATATATAAGTGTCCATGGAAATATTACCTGTACACGATATATAAGTGTCCATGGAAATATTACCTGTACACGATATATAAGTGTCCATGGAAATATTACCTTTACACGATATGTAAGTGTCCATGGAAATATTACCTATACACGATATGTAAGTGTCCTGGAAATATTACCTGTACACGATATATAAGTGTCCATGGAAATATTACCTGTACACGATATATAAGTGTCCATGGAAATATTACCTGTACACGATATGTAAGTGTCCTGGAAACATTACCTGTACTCGATATGTAAGTGTCCATGGAAACATTACCTTTACACGATATATAAGTGTCCATGGAAATATTACCTGTACACGATATATAAGTGTCCATGGAAATATTACCTTTACACGATATATAAGTGTCCATGGAAATATTACCTTTACACGATATGTAAGTGTCCATGGAAATATTACCTTTACACGATATATAAGTGTCCATGGAAATATTACCTTTACACGATATGTAAGTGTCCATGGAAATATTACCTTTACACGATATATAAGTGTCCATGGAAATATTACCTTTACACGATATATAAGTGTCCATGGAAATATTACCTTTACACGATATATAAGTGTCCATGGAAATATTACCTTTACACGATATATAAGTGTCCATGGAAATATTACCTTTACACGATATATAAGTGTCCATGGAAATATTACCTGTACACGATATATAAGTGTCCATGGAAATATTACCTTTACACGATATGTAAGTGTCCATGGAAATATTACCTTTACACGATATATAAGTGTCCATGGAAATATTACCTTTACACGATATATAAGTGTCCATGGAAATATTACCTTTACACGATATATAAGTGTCCATGGAAATATTACCTTTACACGATATATAAGTGTCCATGGAAATATTACCTTTACACGATATATAAGTGTCCATGGAAATATTACCTGTACACGATATATAAGTGTCCATGGAAATATTACCTGTACACGATATATAAGTGTGCATGGAAATATCAACTTTACACAATATAAGTGTCCTGGAAATGTTAACCACCTTTCCCTCTATTCTCATTATCTGAGGCTTTAGCATCAGTAACCAAAAACTGTTTAATAGAACATGCTAGAACCAAGTCACCCATAAAACGTTACGAGAATATGGAAATCAGTATGAAGATAGAGGTTCAGGCAGATGTCCTCTTTCTTTTGCATAAAAGTACACTTTTACTAATGTTGACAAAAAATTGATGCTAAAGGCGTCTTTCTCGTTTCATTTGTTCATGTTTTGTTCATTTTTTTTTATAATTAACATAATTTCATTTTTTCAGTACCACTGATAACAGGATAGGTTATCTTTAAACACATATGTTATCTGATACAGCTTTTTTCACGGTTCATATAAATCTGTTGCGAGAGGTTTTAGCTAAAGGACAAAGAGGACATAAAAAGTAATGAACAGTGAATTGTTAGATACTATGTCGACACTGAATCCACGAATTCTGACTGACATGCTCGTTATACAAGTTACCGTCACACTCCACCGACACATTTTTTATAACCTGAACAAAGTGTTTCATAATTATGTTTCTGACTCTGTGTACCTTTGAAGTATGAGACGTCCTTGTTTAACATCGACCCGTGCAGAGCTACAGACGGAGTACGAGACAGTCCACTCCCCATTTACTATCAGTTGTTAAAATGCTCTCTAGTGTGATAATATTTAAGTTTATAGTAGTTGGAATATATATTTAAATTTGCAGATTTTTTGGTGACTGTTTATCTTTGTAGTAGTTTAGATATTTGTTACAAATTCTCAAACTCATACATTGTTTGTTTATAGGAATGTTGTTAATTTGTGAGATAAGCTTTTACAACTGTACTCTTCCTACACATTATTTAGTTGTATGCCATGGAATAAACACAAATGAAGGCAAACTCTAATTAGATACATGAAAATTAATTAAAGGACAAAAGTAAGTAAGTAAGGAATTTTTCTCTAGATATATACGTCTTTATTTCCTTTGTATGGAATACAGACATCCTTAAGGAGAGTTTAATCTTTTGTCATCCAAATTCAGCTGTTTCTGAATGAAAGGGTTGAAAACAATGGACATAGAGTAACGTTAGGAAATGACAAGAGCACACTATGAGAAATTTTATGGAATGTTAGCTTAGAAAACGATTCTAATGGCCCATTGTCACTTCCATTAACATCTTCTCTATTTTTGTGGATATTCGTACAGACAGGCTAACAGAATCAAATTTGTGCCAGAAATATTTTTGAAAGTCCCTAAACTGGTTTTGAAAGGTCACCAGGCACACGTTTAGGCAAATTATCTTGTATTGTTCACGATGCAAACACATGACGAGAATACACTTAGAAATTGTGGTGCTCGCTCATTAACTCCGATTTAGAAATAATGAAATACATATAAATATATATATATAGTCTGTTAAAATCAAACTAAGCCTTGGTTGATTGATGTGATGTTGTCTTTTGCATGCCTGAATGCATGTCGTGAACCTTTTCATTTTCCATTAAGAATTTATAGGTATTTAATTGTCCGTTTCTCTATCTCGAGGCGAGTATTACATATACTTTCCATTGTGTATGTAGTTATGCTTGATAAACCTGGACACCTCGAAGTCTCACACGGGACAGATCAGTGGAGGACAGAGGCCAGACAATCGATGTCATTGACCCAGCTTGTAAGATAGGTTTTCCAGTAGATTTTAACATGTTTACGCTAACAGTATACATCTATTCATAGATTATTCTTCTACGGCTACCATACCCATGCTGATGTATCCAATGTTTCCCATTTACTGTGAAATTATTCATTTTCGTAAGCGGCTTATTTTCGTTCGTTTCGTTTGTTCTCTGAATTAACAAATTCATTTGTCCACGAAGTGTTATAATTAGTATAGGCAGATCGATTGAGCTATATTCACAGAAGTGAATAGAACATTTCAATGCAAATTTAAAATTAGATACAGTACAGCCAAAAATGAATCAAATTACATCATGCAGCTGTTTCGTCCTTCTAACACTCGTCAGTGATGTTTAAGGTCTAAATTTTTAAAAACTTGTGAGGTGATTGAGGAAAATCCAGAGAATCGAAAAAGTGTCAAAAATCTAGATTGGGAGATGCTGTAGCCCCGTATTGTTTATATTTTCATGCTGATCCTCAGGGAATTAAGTGTCTATAAACAAGAAATACCATGTCAAGTTTTTGGCATATTATTTATTGTCGTTATATGACCGGATATAATTTACCTGATACAATAAAGGTATGTACAACGATATTTGAGTATTACTCGATATCATATACAAATAAGCAACACAATACTTCGATATAAATAAAGACAAAACCATCACATTTAATATAACAACTCTCGTACCGTGGAACACGCAATGTAAAACGTAATACACAGATTAACATACACACAATATGACGTCATAACATGCACACATTAAATATAATGACGCGTCTAAAATCATACGACGTCGGCACACTGTAACAAACACTGCATCCGAATACATTTCGTGTTTTACATACACTTCTGTAACGACATCCAACAATCAGAGGCATTTATCTCTGGCAACTAGATACGTGACCTTAGATATGTAACACTATCGCCAGTCCTGTTGCAAGTCTGCAGCCGAGTATAAACACCACATTGCTAGTGTTGGCTTACATATATATATATATATATATATTCCTATAGATATAAAATATCTTTGGTATTACATGATAACATATTATTAATAATAATTTACCGACCTTCTCGCTCGATCATTGGTTAGTAAACAACTATTTTATTCCAGATTATGAAACTTCATAAAACGATCCATGCTGTCTTCCTCAAGGATCGGAACTCGCTTTCATAAACAACACATAAAAACATAAAGACTGAACATCCGGTCAATCTCATACTTTGTTCAAGATAAAAGAAATGCAGAAATAGCAGAGGAGTCTCACAAATATATCGATCACTGGACAAAGAATAAAAAAAATATGAAATACCCGTATAGGAATGATTGATACTACTTTGAAGTAAAGTGTTATACATTTGTATATATACAAATAAAATATATACTATGTATAGTATAGATAATTAAAGGCTTGTAGCCGGCTGTACGTATCGTTCTGATATCGTTAACATCTAGATTGTAAAAGAAATAGATAACCCTAAATTTATCTATATGTATATATAAAAAATGAGAGATTTAAAATGTGATAAATATCTGACGAGAGTGAGGGGAATAATGAGAACAAATTGTTCTGTAATCTAATCAACAAATCTTCAATTTTAACCACGTCAACTAATACCTCAGGTAAATCGGTAATAAATATTTGATTTTACACTTTATTGTCAGCAAGGTAGCATTATTTGGCAAGGATCTGTTGGCAGTTGTTGACCAGCCGTCAAGACTGACTACCGTTACTACCATCCTGAATGTTAGTCAGCATCTGTAGCTTTCTTAATGCCAAGACGTGTGATGCGGTCCTTGTCTTGTAGACCAGACGAAAGAGCCATGACAGCCGACTTGGATGCACATTTGACTTGTAAGGGCCGTATACAAGCAGACACTTTTCGTGAACAGGACGCGCTACACGGATATTCCAGGGCGGAACAGAATTCTGCATGGTCATGATACCAGTATCTCGTATCGTTGACAGGAGTGTACGACACCACACCTGTAGAAATACAACATGAACTTGAAAGAATGATGTATTGTACACCTGAATGAGAAATATGATTAAAGATGATTTTAATAAATCGTTTTTCAAATATACATCAGAAACCATAATGATTCAGCATCTCCTTTATTCGGCAAGCAAGTTACACAATACAAGAATATTTTTTAACATTCCTGCTAAAGAACAATTATTTCATACATTATAGAGGATAAAACAGACAGTCTTTAACAACCAGTCCTGGTGTTCCTTAATCACGTCATTACTTACATACGATAATACCGGGCAATACATAATAGTAGGAAATTGAAACAAGAAAAAGCTCACAAATGGCAGAATTTGAAACGCTGGACTAAAATGGAGATGCCATACCTCAGGCGAAAGGTTGTGGTGACTGTGCCCGACTTTCACCCTCATCATCAGATAGATAGTTGTCTAGGAAGCCAAACGCAGCAGACACTTGTTTTCCTGAAATGAAATGTGTAATTCTATCACATGCTCTGAAATAAGATTTTCTAGTGTGTTAATACAGCTGGTTCTATAAACGAAGTTAAATGTCACACAGAGAATACATTTAATTTACATATGCTTCGTTATGGGCTATATATAGTTATTATTTACATAGAGGACTCGTCAAGTAAGAAAAATGTACTTTTATATACCTATGTTGTGGACATGACTGATATCTTCAGTACTGAGCTGTTACACGTCAAGTCTACATAAACTTACCGTCTGTGTTACTCTCAGTTTTCTCCAATTTACGATGTTTTGTGCCGGGTGATGGAACATCCTTTCTGGCTGTGGAGCTCACGATTTCATCCATTGAGAATGCAGGGTTGGAATGTGATTGTTTGGACGGATTAACATAAGCCCTAGCAACACCCTCTTTTTTCGTGCTAGATGAACTGTGTCTATTTTCTGGTCTTTGTAACTGACCTTTATATTCATAAGATCGCACGTGAACACTACCACGTTCGTCGTCATCACTGACAGGTAGGTTCAGTTTCAACTCGTCCTGACTCTGCCACTTATTGCTAAGTTCATGATCCCTGGATTTCTCTTGCATTGCACGAAGTTTGGCACTATCAGTTGCGCACTGTGTTGACAGCGCTTGATCGTTAAAGTCTAGAGATTTGCTTTGTTCCTCAGAGTTTCTGAGGCCAGTTGCAGACTGTCGACCGGAACCCTGAGGAGGAGGTGGGGGAGCCCTCTTTTGACGACTGTGAACTTCTATAGATGCGGTCCTTCCTCGTTCTTCATTTCGTGGTCTGTCCTCTCTCCGTGTTCTCTCAAACGCCGGTGATTCCCTTCGTTTTCTGTCCTTCTTTCTCTTGGTGCCCGTGAGGTCACTATGTGTGCGTTTGACTTTCGCCCCCTTCCTGACAGAGTCGTCATCATTTCGTCTGTAGTTATGATAATACTGCTCTTCATCTTGGTACTCAACTATAATGGAGCGATCTGGACAAAGAAGAAATTTGAATCAACATCCCTTATAATAGAAAAGTTTAGATACAACAATCCAAAGTATATCAACATCCCTTATAATAGAAAAGTTTAGATACAACAATCCAAAGTATATCAACATCCCTTATAACAGAAAAGTTTAGATACAACAATCCAAAGTATATCAACATCCCTTATAATAGAAAAGTTTAGATACAACAATTCAAAGTATATCAACATCCCTTATAATAGAAAAGTTTAGATACAACAATTCAAAGTATATCAACATCCCTTATAATAGAAAAGTTTAGATACAACAATTCAAAGTATATCAACATCCCTTATAATAGAAAAGTTTAGATACAACAATTCAAAGTATATCAACATCCAATCACGAACCCGATAACAAAGGACACGTATTACAAGCTGCTCTAATCGATTTACCATCATGGTAACCATCATGAAACTTCAAAGTATTGAGTTTGTATAGGATAAATCATCTTATTGCCTTGCTGGTTATAATCCTTCATGGTATTAATTGTTCATAAATTCAGTGTTATTTAACATGTAAGGTAAATACTACATTTTTCACATTTTGTCGTACCTTGCGGACCGCCGTAGTTATAGGGATACAGACCGCCGTGGATGTAATTAGAGTTGTAAGGGTGATACACGTGACCAGGCACCTGTTGGCTGTGGTAGAGTTGCTGCATGTTTCCCTGGTACACCATGTGGCCGTTGGCCGCTAGAAACAAGCGAGCACGGTAATTAGTTAATAATTAATTAATGGAAGATAGTGAGTCAGTGCGGTTTTATTATACTTCCGTATTGATTCTTGCATAATTGTCAAGAAGTAAAAATCAATGTTTCTTGGAATCGATTAACGCGTGTAGTACAGGTAAAGCACGGGTCCATAAACCACGAAATGTAACAAAATTACACATCGTACACTAGTTATGATTTATCATAAAACACTTCATGTCACACAAATATTATGTTTTAGGATGAATAATATATATCTGTGAAGTTATCGATGAAGAAATATTTTCTCTCAGCCAATAAAAAGTTTGATCAAGTCATAAATGTATTATAACGAATAGAACCTGAAGAAACTAAGTTTATACGAAGCAAAATTTTGTTCGTTACCTACTAATAAACAAAGTTAAAAGGACATTTAACATAATTACATTTTCTCGATTATCAAAAACAACAGGGACATATAGTTCGTGACTGATAAATTCAAAACAAGACGTAGAAACAATGTAAGAAAACAATTATGTCCTTCAAATACAGACATTGATGAGACTAATCTACTTTAGATTTGTTTTATCAAAAACATTGAATACGTTCATAGAAATGAGATTTAGAAATGAACAACCCTATAAAATAAGGATATGGAATCATTTTTATACATACATTTTAGACATTGTCATATGATACAAAGGGATCTATTTCATTAATCAAAATAAGGCCCAGTTGTTTGACGATCGTAAGTAAATCGAGGTACTTCCTAGCCATTTCCCCTTTGAGCTCTTAGTTCCCTTGAATAAAACGAGATTTTATCGCTATTCACGTTTACATAAAAACAATTCACGAACGAAAAAGCAAACAAACATGTGGGAGTTGTGGGGCTATGAATATTTAGTATAGCAGGTTACACAACGTGATGAACAAAGAAGTTAAATGTCAGCAGCGTAGTACATCATAGTGTGAACAATGAACAGATAAACCTTGTCTGTACGTAAACCCAGGTATACGTGTGAGCAATACATTCTGAATGACGTCATAAACAAGTTCAAATTTCTCAGTTTGTCACTTAAATGACAAAAATAGAAACACTTGGTAACATCGTACTAAGATAGGTGTGGATGTCCCCATCTCGAGCACAGATGCTCTTAACTTGCAGATCTGTTGTAGATATATAAATTCTGTGTTATTTATAAATTATTTATCTATCTTACACACTTTTGTGTGCGTTATTTTGTTCACTGTTCGTTCAGCTTCACTATTTAGAATCTGAAAGCGTTATATTCATTGTTCATTGCATGCTTGCACGTAAGATCAGTCAAGTAATTAGATTTAGTCCCCGAGGTTTGCCGTAACCTTTTTAGTTCATTCGAATAGTGGCACGGTTCAGAATACACACATGTACTTGACGTTCTTCATAAAATTATCAGCCATGTGAAAAGTATGAAATTATTTAAGTTATAGGGCTAGTGCACCTCCTAATTAGATTTTGACATTTCCAATTACTTTGAATTTTTTCAGTCGCCTCAAAGGCTTCAACATTTAGCACCTCCGCATCACTGATGAGTCCTAGAGGCTATATGGTGCAGTTTTATTCATTGTTTGCCTCTATTGTGTCTAGCTCTTAAGTTTACATTGAAGTGTGCTATTCATTTGTGTGCCTTTTGTACCTACTACAATTGCCTTCTCACAAACATCTCCACTGTAACACGTTTGTTACTATTTCTCATTTTAAAACCATCCGAATATTTCTTCTAATAAATGATGCAAGACGTCATTAAGGCACTAAACCACTCGTAAAGTTCTACTGCATTAGACATACAAACAAAGTGAACTAATCAGCACACAATGAATGAACAAAAACCATCTGTTCTATCGCCATGTTAATACACTAACTACACGACAACAGGTCAGTCAAGCATCAGGTTAAAAAGACAAGGATGGCATTGGTATCAAACATGTCAATTATTCTATTGTTAGAGTGAGCAAAAACAGAAACTTCTAACTACGTGAAAAGATTTTTGTATCAAATACCGAAATAATATGAACCACTTGATTATAATTAATTGTTCGATATAATTTAATACACAAAATGTAAGTAAAGGCTGTTTCTTTAATGATTGTATGTTAAATGTGTTTTTTTTTATAAATCTTCAGTGAAAAGGAAAAAAAAGAATATTCATCATTGTCAGATTCCCAAATCAGCGAGAATTTCTAAAAAGCATAATACTTTTTGTTGTTGAACTCATAAAACCTGTCACAAACGAACAATTTCTTCAATCACATTAACCGAATCTTTCTACTCATGTCGAGAAAATCTGAAGAACTATCATAAATTTCTCTATAGTTAAAAGCTTATTAGTTCGGCAGCACGTGCGTACAGAAGGGGTGGGATAGATGTCCCCAGCCAATAACGTAGATAGGCAAAGTAACAATACCTACATAATTACATGCAACTTCGAGCAGTGTGGGTTACAACATCATACCAAAACAATATACTGTCATGCTTTTTACTGGAAACAACCAGAATACACGTAGCAACTTGCGATTATCTTGTTTATTTTTCTTATATTAATATATATATTAATTATAATCAAGATTTGATCACGTGTTCAGATGCTTATATTAACGTAAGGTTGAAGAAATAATAAACAAAGGATTTTGATTTATCATCAACATTGTTACGCGATTCTAATTAACATTCAGATGTGTACGTGCGGGACGGTATAAAACTGGCGTGACATAACATGGATTTATATCAGTATACAGGTCGAGACAGACGTGTACATCGGGGAACAGGAAAACTAATACATACTAAAGTTCAGTTACGTGTATTGACTAGTCAAAGGAAAGCAGGTCTAGCAAAAGCAGTTAAACATATAGCATACAAATGTGTTTGTGAAACCATGCAATGAAAGCTTATAAGCGGTAACAACACAGATAACAATGGTAAGCAAAGTAAATGTTCACAATAAAGATAGTGAGTGGACCGTTTCTAATGTGCGGGTAAGGTAAATATGTAATTGAGAAGCACTTATAAATTGTGCGGGTAAAATACACACATTGTCGAGAAGCACGAATAAATGTGCGGGAAAAGGACATATATTGTCGAGAAATAGATATGTGAGTTAGTCACTAGTAACCTACATTGAGCTAGCCTTTGCTCCGATGTGGCTCTCTGTAGCGAAGGAACCCTCTTGGGTCTATCAACGTAATATGCATCGGATGGACCAGTCGAATACATGGACGGAGCTCCCATCCACAGTCCTGCGCTGCCGACCTTGGGAAGCCGGGGGTCAACACGTGCTTCCATTCTGGGGTCAATTCGAGGGTCAAGTCGGGGATCAAGGTGTGGGTCAAGGCCATTACCAAAGTTGCTATTTTTACTAAGACTTGCATCTGTAGTTGAATTCAAATGCTGAAAACTTCTCCCACGGTTTTTGTTATCACGCATGCGCCTGAAAAAAACACAATTTTGTTATACAAAACGTGCAACCCAAACCAAATATATGTTGTAATTATTACAGTCAAAGTTAACCATTTTCCAACATGCGGGTCAACCGTCCTCACCTCCTGGCGGGTAAAACACGCGCAACACGTGATTCTCAGGTAATTCTTTTGATATCCGATTATGTCTGGGTCGGTTCTTTCCGTCTACATCTTTTTTCCTGTTAAAGTTAATACAATATGTTACCTAATTAGGGTGTGTTTTCGTACCGTTCCCTACCTTTCACGTGCTTCTTAAATATTCAACACCGCGGTATCTAACCTCATCAGTTCACGCCGAGTAGCCAAATTACAGAAATTAATGTTTTGTTTTCTAACTAAAGCTTGCTTCTCACGTTGTTCAATAATGTCAGTATAAATAGCCTTGTGTATTCGTCCTGACACTTGCTTAAATTTTAAAAAAGGTTACAGGATCTGTTCGGAAGTGGTAGCGAACACCTTTTATTGTAATGTGAATTGGTTCAAAGACTGCTGCAGATTAATGTATAGTTGGTAATATTTGAAGGGTTTACTTTCGTGGTCAGTAAGTAAATTAAAAAGGCAGCGAGTATTTATACATCGAATTCAAATCACATAAGTTATTTGTTATGTATTTATGCATGACACCAGTTCATAGACATATCATCGTGAACTAGCCTAATCCGGGACAACCGTGAAATCTTTATCTCGCGAAATAAAACAACTATACAGTAACCTAAACGTTACAGGATAATTTACATTGAACATTCTTAAACATTTTTTCATGATGCATTTGTGAGAGAAACCACGTGAACCGAGACAACCGCCGTCATAATATCAGGAATAATAGGGCAGCGCGTCATAGCCATCCCTCTATTGTAATCCACAAGGCATCTGATACGGTTGACATACTCTTTGCAATATGCAGCATTGTAACATGACACCCAACTTACATTCTTGACATACTAGGTTGTATGAAAGCGTTCGTCAAGGTATATGGTTTTCATATAGCGTTTGGATTGCTATCTCTCCGTGAACAAATAAAAATCTTGCCGAAACCTTATTAACGATTCCGTACCAGACAACTATATAAATCTGTAACAAAGATCAGGAAGTGAATATGTAGTTTTATATCAACTGATTCAGATGTCACTCTTTCTCATCCACACCCTTTGGTATCCAGGTACGCCAGTCCGTAGCGTAATTAAAAGTGCGTGGTCTAGTGGAGTTTTAGATTGGAAACCCGGTGTGTCATTTACCGGACTAAAATGTTAAGTGCCCGGATAACACCTTGTCTCGATGGTCATCAATTTATACCGTGATGGCCCGCGGGCACCTGTCAATTCGTCTAAACGATACCCGTCAGCACCGTTATCTGTGTGATGGGTAGGTCAACATTGGTGTTGGGTAGACAGTCCACCGCTTTGTTCCTTTCAACTCAACTGTCAAATTCAAATTTATACTAATGCCATTCTGACTGACCCAAGACCATACAATTTGTCGTGACAAGTTTTCCCTTTCCCATTCTGAAAGCAAAACATCTTTCCTTCCAACTTTTTTTTCACCAGTTTCTTAATTTTCAACAACTTGCCCTCAAGTTGTTGGTAGGAATGCCACCACAGCAAACCATTTCACGATGAACAAGAACCACGGTTTCATGGTAAGATGGGGTATTCATATCACTGTACCTTTGTGATCTTTTTCTTATATTCTTGTTGTAAAAAGTTACAAATTCACTCCTCACTCCCAAAATCGATGCACGTAAATTACATCAGTTTACATCAGTGGTAATTTATACAGTGCTACTTGGTGTAAACTACTCGAACAGCTTCTGAATTTGTCACTCGACCAATCAGAAGTATGGTGACTTAAGAGTCGACATAATTTCTAAATAACATAACGGGAGTGATATATAAACTGAAGTTCTAGACAATTATTTCCACAAGATGTTATAATATATGGACATGTGTTATAGATTACGAAGACATTTTATTTCGTTGAAATACATGTACGTAACACGATAGTTTGATTGCAGAATGATATCACCATGGATTGGGATCAAAATAATATTCCATGTCTCCGTAATCTGTTGCAGCAGCCGACTACAATAAATAAACAATAAAGACCTGTTTGTAAATTATTCTCGGTCTATTAAATGCTATAGATTCCCTTACCCGCATGTACAGTAGATAATGATGGCAATGAGGACGAGGAGAACAATGAGACCAGCGACGGAGCCGCCGATGATAGCGATGAGTTCCTGTGTGTTCACCATGGTTGGTTATTGCACCTGTAAGGAGACAGAAACAAACGAATATTATAAGTGTGTAATGTATTTCGAAATTATATAAATGTGCTTCCTGATACAGGTGTCCCTTAGATAGTATATATTTAAAGTCGGCTCTCCTTTCCACTCCGTGTTCCGATACACCCATAGACAATTTGAAATTGGTTGTTTGTGATTCAAAAGCATCGGCTTTTTAGGAAAACATATATATTTATCTCTAAACACAAGAAGACAGCATTGAATATATGTAGATAGTCAAATGTGATAAACAGTAATAATAAAGTATTGTCATACGAACCTTTTTAACTCTATAATGAAAGATATCACATATGTTCATAAAATCAATATACGTATGTACAAAAATATATCTTTCCAAACAAAGCCAGTCGATATGTACGCTGCCGACCCACAGATGTCGCAATCATGATCACAACTAAGTTTGTTTCCAGGATGATCTGGTAACACATAGACTAGACAAACAGCTGCTGAAGCTGGCCACCCGACCAATCAGATCGGTCAAACAGCTGCTGAGGTTGGCCACCCGACCAATCAGATCGATCGAACGCAACGATGAACAGTGACTCAGCATGAACTACGCCCACTGTCAGTAATAATTGACCAAACGTCTTTCCACTGATGTTAAGGTTACTGAACGTGTTGCTATAAGGTTGTGTTATTACCTACTTTAGTACTTATCTAAATAATTAAAACTTATATCCTTGTTTCTATGTCTAATATATTGTTAACAAAACATATCTATCACATTCATAAATGCAATAGAAAGAGTATAACATATTTTCTTCTAAAAGAAAAACTTACTGGTATCTGGAAGGTTGAGAAACCGGAAAAAATAAAACCACTTATGCAAGAGTCTTTATTTACATGTTGATATTAAAACTTTTAGATTGCAAACAATAATTTCTAATACAGCAATACCTCTGGTACAGTAATTTCTAACCATATTTTTATTTATTTACTTATCTACGTATTTACTAAAACACAATGATATTCATAACAAAACATATTTCTAAACAATACATCTTAAACGAGCTGCATTATACATAGAAATAGATGTCTAACAAAGTATCGTTATTCTTAACCCACCGTTGATAAGTTGCATAGAAACCCATAAAATGTACAAGGAGGAAATACCATTTTCTGCTGATTTCATCGACAACACGATACCTAGATAAGATCAATGATAATGTCACGCCTTCAAAATTAATTAACTGACAAATAGGAAGGAGAAATCATAGATGAAAAGAAAACCCCAATGTAATTAAAAAGCAGACATGAAAAATTGACTTCAAATAAAAAATAACTCAATGATAAAATAAACTAATTCAATCCAGAACAAACTGTTTTTACAATGGACGTTAACTCGGTTCTGTATGCCATGTTTTAGTTCATTCGAATAGTGATACGGTACAGAATGTATTTGACGTTGTTCTAAAATTGTCAGATCTATAAAGTTACCATTTATTGAAATATAACGATAGTGCACCTCATTTATGTTTTAACATTTCTTTCGGTGACTTTTAAATTTTCTCAAACATTTTCTAGGCTTCATCATTTAAGACGTTAACATCACTGACAAGTCCAAGACTGTTGTATGATGAAGTTCAACTCATTTTTTGGCTCTACATTTACAGTAAAAGGTGCTATTTAAGTGTGTGTCTTTTGTACAATGTCCAGAAATATATTAGGCATTAACAGATATTTGCTATACGGACACATCAGTCTCTGGTGTGGGATTTAATGACTATCATACTCTTCATAAGTTGGTATAACGTGACATTTATTTCAAGTACTATAAAAATTCTAGAACTGTCATCATGACTACACCTCTTTGGTTCCTACTACGTGTGTTACTATACCACATATTTTACATGTAACTTATTGTATATTTATGTGACAGTCACGTATAGGATATTTTGTAGTTAAGATACAGTACTTTTACACTTTAATTATATACTACTATTATACTTAATTATAAAACAGAATGACATCTTAATCTGACTACCGTTAATTAGAGATGTAATATATAAGTCAGTAAATATTCATGTTATATATATATATAGACTGACTACCAATTAGATGATGTTATTTTAGTCACTACTGAGTATTTTTAACTTGATGTGTAATTTCTCTAATGTTATTAAGACACCTGTAAAAAGATAAGTTATCTAGTTGTCAATTTATTGTAAATTTGCAATATGTTTCAGTGTTATGTTGTGTATATTGATTTATGAGATGCGAATATAATAAAATTTGGATGATGTGTAATAACGTTTGGGTGATATGTAATAATAATTGTGTGATATGATATAATATCTGTGTGATATGTAATGATATTTGGGTGATGTTTAATATTATTTGGATGATATGCAACATTTGTGTGATATGCAACAACATTTGTGAGATATGCAACAACATTTGTGAGATATGCAACAACATTTAGGTGATATACAATAACATCTAGGTAATGTATCAGTATGGATAGGAGTTATACATAGGATAGTTGAAGGCTTACGGTTGTTATATAAATTATTTATTCCTTGCCATGTTTCCTTAGTACTTATATTTGCTGCCTGGAGAATTAGCTAGGTTCCACCAATAAACAAAATGTCTTACTACATTACTCTGAACAGAGGACTAACAGTTTACCACACGGAACAATGAATTCCGCGTCTGTACTGTAACTTACTTAACAAGCGTGGTTACCGCTTCAATGGTTAAGGAAAATTAAAATGGAATCTGAACGCCTAAAATATCAGTCTGTACTTGTCTAAATATTGTTTTATTGACATTTGAAATGATAGGACATATACAGAGACTATGTAAACCGCTTTGTCATGGCCATATTATATTTTGATTACACCAGCAGTGTGTATGAACCAGATTTATTACATGTCCTGTGAAGTTTTAACGATCTTTTCATCAACTATGTCTATGTCTTCCATCATAAACCGATTGAAAATATATTTGATATGATGACACAGATATTCTCCCTGTTCTATTTTGTATATAATACCCTAACCATGGGACGTACACTGGTCCATTACAACCCTAGTTACACACACAGACTTGTAGGACTAGCAGATCCAGTATAATTAATAGGTTAATTGTAACAATTTATAGACTAACACAATGTATTAATACGTTAAAATACAAACTACCATACAACTATACAAATATGCTATAGACTGGTAATAATCATTTCACTTTTAAAATGATATCAGTTACAGGTTTTAATACACACTGTACTGGATGACAAATACAAGAATGTATGAGTTTTTTTATCATACATTGAAATTAACAAGATATATGATATAAAGTTCGGTCAGTAACAACTGCAGGAAAGGACGGACTCGTTGTAATATCTAATGAGATATATTGTAAGGGTTCACGGTGTATATTAATGAGTTGTGATACAGACATTGGTCAGTGAAAAGGACAGGTATGTATGGGTTCACAGTGGTAATTTTTTAGATGTAACATAAATATTAATCAACCGGATTAGACAGACTACAGTGATTACCAGCAGAAATTATTGTCACGAAGATAACATAAGTGCTCATCCATCACCTGCGGAAGGCAACAGAATACACAGTCTCCCGGGGCAAGTGCTCTAACACCAGTCTTAGCACACCATTCATGCCCAGAGCCAGGGGCTAATATTACGTAATGCAATAAACATTAGTAAGATATTACCAGCTGAGAGTCTAATTGCCATTTTTATACCTAGAATTTCGAATTAATACTCAATAGTTATTAATGTGTCCTTCATGTTTCCATGTGAATGGGCTTCTATCTTTAATTATCACGGTATTTTTATGTATCAGGCAGACTCGACAGTATGTAGGTATTGTATCCGGTCGTAATTTTCACTAATTACTTAACCTGACATGTTTATTAAAACATAACATGGGATTTGGCTCCAAGTAGGTTTGACAGACATGTCATTTACTGAACATGATGTTATTAGAATTGTTTTATAGAAAGTTACTAGTATGTTTAGATGAATAATTCAACAAACATTTGTTAAATGAAAATGTATCAACTAGGACAAAGGCACGAGTGATGGTTTTGTGACACGTGCGGTGCCCTATTGTGGGTATTTCCTTGTGTGATATTTGAACTGTATCGAGTAACAATGAGTTAATGACAGATTTCTCTTCCATCGTGTTAGAACAATACAAAACAGGCAACACCCTTCCGTTTAGGAATTCCATGACTTTGTGTCACCCCTAAACAAAAGATAGTAGGTATTGTTAGCCCAGGATTCGTTTCTAAAGCATTTTAACACTAACGGATCGGTTACCTACATTCCACGTAAAGGCGCGGTTTTACAATGCTGAAATACCCTCTAGAACGGAGTATTGTTGTCCGCGAGGTGAAGTCACCCTGAATAACACCCATTATTTTGTGATTTACATACAATCTATCGCCTCGTCACGGACTTGAAAAAAGAGATCTAATGCTAGCATTTCCATTGAGAGGAGCTATCATTAATAGTATCCATTTAAATATCAATGTCATCCGAACAATTTCCACACAGCAAGATACCAACAGCATGCGACGCCATTTATCTGTGAATTATGGACAGCCAAAAACGATGATTTTGTGAAACCAAAAGTATTTCCAAATTAAAGAACTACTGGACATGACAACTTATCGCCATGCTGTAATACCACACTTGTCATGTAAACAGCATGGTCAGTCTGACAACCCTTACACCGAATGCCCTGGTATGACCCACTGCAGACATCTATGACCTCCTCTTGCCAGGTCAGCTGCCAGTTTCTGAAGTATCCCTGATCCATAACACCGACTAACTACCTGTCATAACTAGATCCCTACGTCACTCTCTGCCACTCAGGCAGCTAACATGGGGCTCCAACACTTCGACATCAATGGTGCTAACTTTGATCTGGCTGGGAACTTACAAAAAATAGTATTTCATATTGCACCGTAGAGAATATCTA